CAGGCCCGTGGGAAAGCCGCTTGGCGGGGCGCCGCTTCTCGCTCTGGGCGGGCTTCGAGGCCGGGAGGCCGCCCCGGCTCTCTTTGACAAGCCACAACGCCCGAGCCGCTGCATGGCGCAGCGAGGTCCTCGGGCCGGGTGTGTTGCGAGGGCATCCCACCGCCCTCGAATTGAAACGAAATTGGCCCGCCATGCCAGCGGGGGCGCGGAAAAGTATGTACTTCGACCGATTTTCTGGTCTAAAGTGCAGGTCTTGTTGCAGCGGTAGTTCCGCCGGAAGAAATCCACCGGGAAGTGGACCCAACAACTACCGAGAAGAAAAAAACGAAAACCACGAGCGCCGGACGCTTATTGCGACGACCGCGCCGCACTTTGTTTGCTTTTCACTACTTTCTTCACGGGCACGTGGTCGTGGAGAAACTGCGAGATTTACTTCCGTATTGTTCCGCCGCAATGGAACGAGCATCAGAGAAGTGCACACAACCAAGTCGCACGGCCTGTGGTTGAGATAAAAAAAAGTGGAACCCGACCTGAAGATAATGTGGCAGCTCGGACGACCGAACACGACAACTCACTGATCCTACTTGATGGTGGAAGTTTTTCCGATTATATCCAAAAGGGAGAGGAGAAGTAGTACACTTCATTTTCATCTTCACAGACTCAGCGCCTCCAAGGTGTGAAGACCAAGTAATTACCTACACAGGAGCAGAACAAATCTTTTCTTTCTTCTTCTTTACTTACCACGACATCACCGTCGGTGGAGAATCAAACCTTCTGGTCTTGGCCTGCTCCCAAATCACCACGTCTGCGTGATGGGGAGCGAGTCTTCATTGTGACCACCCGACAGAAGGTTTTTTTGATATTTATGCAAGAAACGGTCTTTGGATGATTTGAAAGCTGCGGAGCGATGATTGAATAGCCTAAGAAAGGTTCTTGAACATGATCCGACATGATACACATCATGCGCTAGCTGGTACTGAATTGATTCGATAGATGAAGCTGCCGCGAAAATAGTAAAATCTTGAATTGTCATACCCGGCGACTGCAGCTGCGCCACAGCAGAAACCTTTGCACCGTTGCCGCAAGCAGCTACGTTCGCAGGAGATCGAGGGTCAGAGTTGCAATAAATAATCTTGATTTGTCGTGCGATTCAACAATGATAACAATCACAAGGGGTTGCTCCCCTACTTCGAACAGTTCCTACTCTTACTGGCACAGTCACAAATTAACTTGCCTCATTGCTATTCCAATCCATGCATGGCTCGTCTATTTTGAATACCATACAACTGGCTATACTTTTTCGTGAACCGCATCCGCAGATGATAGATATCGAGATGCGAACGCTTGTTCGCTAAAATCTTTGATGGAAGTATCAATAGTGCATGCCACGACTCAGAAGATGACATATTTGCAGAAATAGCGAAACTGCCCTCAGAAATCAGTTGCGAATTAGCACTACGCTCACTACTTTCCAAATGATATATTGGGCCGCGGCTTGCTTCGTTGTCAAATAGATTGCAGTAATTTTTTTCTGTATGCTTCATGGTCAATCTTGACTACTTAATTTATTTCTACTATGGTCATGAGCTTGGGTTTGCTTTTTTTCGTCCGATGAATAAGACTACCGCATGGTTGTAGTGGGGTTGAACTAAATAAATGTTTATTTAGATCGCTTTCGATTACATCAATGATGCCACTGCACTGCGAGACGCCACTCGACGGAGCGCAGCTGCAGTTCTGCACCAATTTATTTTGCTTCACTATCATTATACACTTACACGAGCAAGCCAGCACCAGTCGTGTCAGCTGTGCTCACATTCTTCAGATTTGTAAAAAGTGGCGAGTACTACGATTCTAAAATTATGACTTTATTGCACGATCTGGCGTCAAGAGAACAACGCTGATTAATTGATGATGATGATGATGTACCCAACTGCGGGGTCTAAGGCATCCTCACAACCCTGGCGGTGGTCCCGACACAGGCGTAGCATGCGGCTCTACCATGATATTACCTGCTGCCGCTCTACTATGATTTCGGACGGCCAGATAATACCTATACCAATCTCCACCAATCGTTTCCAATTGGTACTCTCGCCCGGTATCGCGATAAGTGAACTCGAGGGCCCTTTCCCATTTTCGCCCTACTTCTAATGGCTGCTGTACGTGGTCTACTTCTGCACTGCCCGCTGCTCCAGGCCTGGCCAGCGCCAGCTCTTCACCACCAAGCGTGAGGCGCAAGAGATCCCTGCTGCCCTGAGGAGCCTCCTCCACCTGTAACGCAGCGCGGGTCCAGCGCCACGTCCGTCCCTGGGTCCGGAAATAAGGTTCATCAAGAAGTGCATAATGCGGCACACTAGTACTTCTGCAGCTTAAGTCACGAACGATTTCGCATCCGCTCCGTTCCATGGTGGGCGTTAGGCTGGATTCCAGGTCAAGCAAATCGGCGTACATAGAAGGTGAAGGATCAACGAAAAGAGAAACATCCAAAACCTTCCCCGGGGTGCTTAGCCGTTCGTCGCTATTTTTCTGCAGGTGAAACAGAAACTGAAGCAGCTTCGTCCACTGCGTACCGACCTCGTTTTCGAAGTTCTTTTGGTAAAGAACGCTTTCGACGAGAACACGATCGAAGTCCTGGGCCTTCACGCTATTCCACGTAACAGCGCGACCCGCTCCTGGCACAGAAGTTGTCGGGGCTAGGACGTGCACAAGCGGAACCAGGGGACGCCCAGCACCATGGTCACTACGATACCCCCAATCGTGCGAGATCACACCAACCCGCTTGGTAAGCTTTGCTTTCCTGTTCTCTCTCTTTTCCGAAAAAAATAACGCTACCAGCCCCGGCGACCGCGTCAAGTTCTTGTAGAGAAGCGGCAACGAGTTGAAGTTGTACCGTATTAAGTTCTCTTCATCCTCATCCACTCCCGACAGCACCCGCCCTGCTGCTTCAGCTTGTTTCGCCCTAGCAGTAGCAACGTCCTGCGCGACGTGTTTTGCGGCAAAAGCCGCCCCAGCTTCTTCCGCGGTCGCGTACGTGCGGCGACCTCCAGGACGAGTCCCAGGACGCGAGGCCGCAGAAGCGAGCGCCTTGGCCTTCGCGGCGGCTTCTGCTCTTCGCTGTTGTTCTTCTACTTTTTCCACGCGAGCACGACGGACCTCCAGCTCCTGCAGCTTGTCCTTTTGGGCTTTAACACTGCTCTCCGACCGTCTTTTCTTTTGGATCTCGAAACTGTTGGTGCGAAAGGGTTATGCTGTGCAAAAATATTGTGTTGATGATTTGGCGTTTTTTGCATGACAGATTCAAACCAAAACGCTTGATCATGACCTTGCGGTCCGAAAATGCAAAAAGAGAAAAACACCAACACAATATGTTTGCAAAGCATAAGCGCGACACTCCCGAACGCGTTCCTCCTAGATGTAGATGTTGATTTTTCCCGCTGCTGGAGCACCGGGCTTTTCGACTTCTTGATGAGATGGAGATGATTTTCTAGCGGCTTAAGAGGAACACGCTGGAGAATAATCTGGGGCGTTGCAATTTCCGACACACCGGGAGCCATCACGGAGAGGGGCGAAGCCGTCCCTGTCTTCCGGTAAATGCTTTCCGAAGAGGGTACGAAAAAGACCGAAGTTGTACTTGCTGGAAAACTGGCGGATGTGCTCGCACGTCTCGCTGTGCGTACAGCTGGTGGCCTTGTGTTGGGCATCTTCACTCTGCTTTACTTCAAACCAGGCTAACTCTCTAGCGACCACGTGTAACCTATGTGACATCTGTGTACAAAGACCCTCACCTCACTGCTCTCACTTCGCTCAAACTCTCTTGACCCCAAAAAAAACAATTTTGGCTGGACATTAGACAAAGCGAAGGCCTTACGAAGGACTGCGAGGCGTAGCTACCTTTGCAGGTAGTTCCACGGCCTACAGCGTGTGCTCGACTACCTTGGTGATATGTTACAAAGGTCCCCAACTTTTCTGAATGTGACGCGATGATGTACAACGCAATGCGGTTGCAGCTTGTCCTTTTGGGCTTTAATAAATTAATTTCGTACTACTAGAGCTCGCCGTTGGCTTCTGCTTCCAACTGGTCCAAGTACTCTGCTTATGGATTGCAAAAATGTCTGGGTCTGGAAGGATGCAACTTGTGATGCTGCATTTGGATTCTACAAAAATCTGTATTGCATGAACAGCAAAAGAGTTGCAGTTTTTGCGACGGCGAGAGGGCATTTCTCATGCGGTATAGGCATCAGGAAGCCCTCAAAAAATCTGTGATGCTAGGGTATGCATCACAGACATCAGGGTTCATGCCAAAGCTGCATCGCAAATCTCTGCATCCTTCCAGACCCAGACATTTTTACATTTGATACTGCTGGAAAGCGGTCCCAAACTTCAGCATTGTGTGTATCCTGTGCAAAAGTATCGTATTCGTATAAATGCAAGTCTTGCATTACAAATTTTTTTCTCAAGGTAAATCCGCATTACAAATCTTAATTGAATTCTCATGCTGGGGGAACAATTTGTCATGCATTTATACGAGTACGATACTTTTGCACTTCATAGTGTGCTTCACGCAGCTATCAATTGCAAATATCCCTGGATGATGTCTGGAAGATTCTAAGGCTTGTCACGCACGTTCTTTTGCATGAGCCATGACGTCCTCTGTGATGCATGCCCTAGCATTACAGATTTTTTATTTTTCAGGGCTTCCTGATGTTGCCTATTCCGCATGACAAAAAATACCCTCTCCGCGACGTAGCAAAAATTCCATTCCCTTTGCTGCGGATGCAAAAATACAGTTTTTTTTGGAATCCAAACGCACCTTCCGATTGACACATCTAAACCCAGATCGATGTTTGCAATTCCATACCTTTTCCCCCTTGCCAAAACGCTGCGCATCAGTTTGCCTTGCTCCAAAACACTAGGGTCCAAGGGTGCACTATCCCACGAAAGAACTGTTTGTTCACTGTGATGATTTTGCAAGATCTGCATCACAAGTTTCATCTTACACATGACACAGAAATAAATTTGCCATGCGCGGCACTTCCAAAGGGAAAACAGCGTCAAAGAGTCGCGGTCTTGCAGGTGGAGCAAGACAAATAGTTCTGTGATGTTGCCTTCTGTGCATCACAAGTTCACATTGAAACAGTTTTTTCTTGCGATATGCACCGCCCGCGTAAGTCCTCCGCTTCTCACGTTATCCTGTGCAAAAGTATCGTACTCGTATATTAAATTACATTCATGCACATCTCTTTCTAAGCCTGAAACAGCATTACAAATTCCAGTTCTGTTCTTGCCGGAATTTGTGATGCAATTTGTACTAATACGATGCTTTTGCATTGCATACACGTAAGCGCGCAACAAAATTTGTCCAGAGCGGCGGCGCCGTCATCGTAGTGTCTATCTGGATGTAGGGAAGCAGCAGCGAGTCCTTCTCTTCCTCATACAAAGTTTTGGTGCGGTTTTCTATCCTGAGTAAAAACATCCCCACCCCATAGTTGTCATGCAGATTTGCGACTACAGGAAGATTTATAATGCGCATCTCCATGAGAGGCATTTCCAATCGCGTTTTGGAATTTGTAATGCTGTAAACAGGATAAACAGATGGATTTGCGATCCGGTTGTCCTTGCTAACATGCACTACACCTACACTACGGACTGCAACTTCTCATGCGTGGCTTCCAAAGCTTGTGGATTTGTCTTGCTAGGACCCCAACTTGACTATGGGGTGGGGACGTTTTTACATATGATATTTTCGGTTCTCTGCCCATCCAGGGTTTGTACCTCCAGCTCCTGCAGCTTGTCCTTTTGGGCTTTAATAAATAGCTCTTCATCGTCTGCCTCAGTCTTGCCAATAGCCCTGTTGAGGACAAAATTCTTCTTCTTGTTTCCTCGCGCTGGGCTGGTACTAGAAGAGGCCGCTCCGGACGTCGGTGGTAAGTCTGCGCCTCGAGCAACTTGTTGCTCACCATAAAAAAGATTGTACACTGCAAACAGCTGCAGAATCCTGCTGCTGCACTTGGAATTTCGGTGCACGACGAAAAACATTTTTGATGCAAAATTCAATCACCTCGACCTTGTAGCAAATGAATTCTGATGAAAATGTTGTTAATTTTTTGTGCAAGAACTACCTGAGTAAACTAAAACTACGTAGAGAAAGAACGCTGTTCTTACACTAATCAGTACCCAGCAGGCTGTGAATGAAAAAATGGCAATGGTGCCTGAGCAAGATCATATGTGAGGATCATGATGGTGAGGTGCGATTGTTGAAAAAATCAAATATGTCATGCAAAACGACAGAGATATAAATTTTAGTTTGATGTTAAATCTAGACCGATATGGACAATACAGAAGAAAATAAAGAAACGACGAAAGAGAGAGAGATGGGTCGGAAAGGACAACACTTCTGCCCCTACCGTCCAAAGCATATCTGCCACGCTGCTAGGGAAAGCAGCCCTAGGTGGTGGATAATGCAATGGTGCTCGCTTAAAACTATGATCCCTGTGCACAGGGCGGGTAGGGGCGCCGGCTCCACCGTCCAAGTGCTCATAGTTTTAACGTGTTGTTAGAGATAGAGAAGAGAGGAAGCCGAAACAACACCACACAAAACAAACCAGAGAAGAAAGGATCATCAGAATAATGCAGTTACCGATTGATGACCGACGATTAGCGTAAGAGCTGGATAATGAAAGAGAGATAGCACGAGCGAGGATACGATGGGAGTACGAATGTCACGAGATCGATCAGGACGAAACTCACGGGCGAGGAATCAATGGCGAATACGAATGTCACGAAAAACGATGTCTACGTTCAGCATGATGAGGAGTTCAACGATAAACGATGTCTACGTACAGCTTGGTGAGGAGTGCAACGAAGAGGCGACCCGAGCGAAATGATGATGTGAGAAAGCGACGAAGAATTAGCGACGTAGGAACGTAGCGTGACTATAAGCGATGAAAGAAATCTAAGATACGAAACTATTCTCTAATAGATCAACCGAAGGATACCGAGGCGCTCATGATCTCTATCGAAAGTGATCTTGGGGACGAACAAACACATAACAAGCAAAATGTACAAACGCATGCCGGAGAACTGTGCTGTTGATTCAATTTAATTTTTGCATCGAATGAAAAACAAAAAGAATGGATACCGGAGTGCCATGACAGCAGATCACCCATAATTTTGCATGATAATTGTCATTCATCATCGTTCATTCGCATTCAATCTAGTATGTTGTATGCATGAGAAACAAATAAAGATAAGAAGTAATTTTTATACACACTGTCCCGGGATTGGTGAGGGTCATTTTGTTTGATAGTAATGTTGGTTTTCTCGTCAGACTAGCACGCAACGAACCATTACAACAAGCTTCAACATCAAGATCCGTTTGTATGAATCACACCGAATGTTTGCATATGAACACTGTTCCGAAAATGAAGAGATGACCATACCGATGAAGATGAACAACCGATTGCATATACGAGTCAACCGAATTCTTCTCTTGTTATCATTTGCAGAACGAGACTCAAGCGCACGCAACAACAACTTCTGTTTTTCATTTCTGTTTTGTTTGTAGATCATCTAGAGTCTCCGTCATTCTTAACTACTAACTTCTTAACTATTAATTTATGCGTCTTTTGTCGACAGGGACAGTCGGCATGTAGTTTTGGTTCGGAACAGCATTTTATTTAAAACTCTGATACAGGAAAGGACGACGTCCTCGGCCTTTGTCAGTTCCGGCGGGGCAAGCGGGTTTTATTGCATTTTCATTGTTTCATCTTGCTCTGACCGCGTTGCGAGTTCTTTCGCCCTCGAGGACCGTCGCAAGAAAAAGCGGTGGCGTGGCGGTAAAAACAACAAGCACGGCAGGCAATCTCACCTGTGCCCTTCACCTTCTCGCGTGCTGTTCGCCGCGTTACTTCTAGACTTTGCACAATATGAAATCAACAGCAGAAAGCACGACCGAAGCGTGATGCGCAGTCGCGTCGTGCTGTCGCGAATATTTGGTTTAAAGTTTTTTGCAGCTGTGGCAGTGTCAGCCAAAAAAAGTAAAAAAGAGGAAAAAATAGCTCGTTCCGCTCTGCCTGTTACACCGATGAAAAGGAGGAGGACTTCGACTATAGAATTCAAACTAGTACCACCACGGCGCTCGTTTAAGTACCTTCATTTCTGAAGGGACGAACCCTCTAAACACCATCCACATCGGAGGTCAACCGTTCGGGATGAGATAGCACGAAGAGAAAAAACGATGATCGGGGCCGCTTAATTGGGAAGCGGTGTGAGGAGCGCCACTTGATGTACTAGTTGTCGTCGTGTTCAGATAATACAAAAGGGTAGTCCACCCACACCTTGTTCAGTTTTTACATAGTGACAGTCAGGCTTATTTCTGACACAACTGGTTTGATTCTGATTATCTTGATTCGATTTTGGTATTGGTTTCTTAGCTCATAAAAAAGTTGAAATCTTCACGTAGTTGTTTGTCCATTTCGTTATTTCATTTGTGAGTGATACTTTCGTTGACCATCCAGCACAAAAATTTACATCACGTAAGAATTGTTCGCAAGTACTAGCCCATTTGTCTTTTATTCACAGTGTTGGTGAAAATAATCGATAAAAATAAATATGAAGTAAACCTAAAGCTGTGCAAGACGAGAACAACAACAACACAGGCCACCTCTACGGCCCCGCCCCTCCGCTTGTCGGACTGGGTGTTCTAGAAGAAGTCGAGCTTGAATTCGGTATCAACTGTAAAATTGTCTGGGTCTGGAAGATTCTGACAGTTGGTTGGTTGGTTGGATAGCGCCTGTCGCCGGTGCAGGTCCCGCCCTCCATCGATTGCGATCCGGAGTAGCCGGAACACAAGGCCCTAGTGGCACAATCGATCGACGAAGCCCTTTATAACCAGGTCACGGACATCCGGCTGCCGTGGAGTCATTCGCGGGCCAGGCAACGTCTAGGAGCTACGGATTAGGGATCTTGATGGGCGAGACAGGTCACAGTCATCCGCCTGCCCATCGAAGACGAGCCAGGTCACAGTCATCCAGCTGCGTTCACAGTACGAGCCAGGTCACAGTCATCCAGCTGACTGCATAAGAACGTCCCCGGCAGCAATCATCGAAGTGAACCCATGGGAAGTGTCGTGAAATGCCAAAGACAGGAATCCCCTGACATACGCCAACAAAACCCAATAACCACATGTGACGACGTGGAGAAAGGGTAGACCCCGACTGGCCTACGAGTAGGCCTGATTGCTCCGCTGCGTGGTATTTTCCCGGGCAAATTTATTTAAAGTGAACCCCGGGCCATTATTACTATCTATTATATTCATGCGAAAAAAGAGGTCTACAGAGGGTAGACGAGAGGTGGCCGAGAGGTCAAAAAGAGGTCAAAAGAGGTCAAAAAGAGGTCGACAGAGGTGGAGAGGTGGTGCGGGAGGTCATTCGGGAGGGTGGCCAAGAGGTGGCGCGGGTATAGCGAGCCGAACCGTTCACCCTAAAGCCGCGCCTATAGGGACCAGAGGGGGCCGAGAGGGTGCCAAGAGGGTAAGCGAGAGGGGGACAGAGGTGCCGAGAGGTTGCGCGAATAAGGGCGAACCTCTCGCGCACCCTCCTGGCCACCTCTCGGCCACCTCTGTAGACCTCTAACGGCGAGTATAGCCGGACTATTAGCAACACCTCTCGGGAGAGGTAAAAGAGAGGGTCTGCGAGAGGGTACAAACAACCCGAATCCGCCCGGTACAGGGCCGATCTTCTGGGGGATTTTGCATCGCTCGGGCCCGCACCCTCTCGCGCCACCCTTTCGCGCCACCCTCTCGCGCACCCTCTCGCGCACCCTCTCGCGCCACCCTCTCGCGCACCCTCTCGCGCCACCCTCTCGCGCCACCCTCTCGCGCACCCTCTCGCGCCACCCTCTCGCGCTACCCTCTTGCGCCAGCAGTTCCGTCGGCCGGGAAGCCATTGGGCGGGGGCGGGAGAGTGATCAACACAGGGCAGCGCGGCCCCCCTTGTGCTTCGGCACTTACGCCGAGGCGACTTCTCTTTGCCCCCAAGCTTCGCTGCAGCTGCTCCCTGCGCATAGCGCCTAAAGGCGCGGGAAGCGCGCAGGAGACCCTGCGGGGTTGCATGGCGCAAAACGGCGACAGTATGTTCCTCGGGGGGTGGGGGGCTGTCGCGCTGTGTCCAAAGCTCTGGCGCGGCGTCCCGATCCGCAAATAGTCCTGCCCTGCCACAACAGCCTAGCGCCCCGGCGTCTGCCGGGGCATGGCTGGTAGTTGTCACGCACGTTTTGCATGAGCCATGATGTCCGTGATGCATACCCTAGCAATACAGATTTTTTGAGGGCTTCTTGATGCCTATTCCGCGTGACAAATGCCGTCTCAGCGCAGCAAAAATTGCATTCCCTTTGCTACTCACGCAATGCAGATTTTTTTGGAATCCAAACGCAGCATCACAAGTTGCATTCTTCCAGACCCAGACATTTTTGCACTTGGTATTCGGTCCTGGCAACCCACCAGCTTCTACCGCATGATCCTCACCCGGTGGCTATCCTGAGTAAAAACGTACCCACACCAGAGTTGTAATGCAGATTTGCAAAGACAGAAAGACTTATAATGCGCATCCCCATGAGAGCCATTTCCAATCGTGTTTTGGAATTTGTGATGCTGTGAACAGGATGAGCAGATGGATCTGTGATGCGGGTGCACTTGCTAACCTGCACTACAATGCATAGTGCAACTTGTCATGCGTGACTCACAAAACTCCTAGGTTTGTGTTGCAAAATCCCCATCCTGAATCTGGTGTGGGTACGTTTTTACTGAGGATAGTGGCCCACTAGCGTCCCGCAAGTACCTGCCGGGCAGCAGATTGCGATCGTGCGACGGCCGAATGTCCGGACTGCCACTGCGGCTCCGCGTAGTTTTCGGAAAGGTCGCGGTTCCGGTACTGTTCCTCCTCACTGCAGAATTTGCGATGTTGCTATCAAATGCAAATATGTTGTAATCTGGGTCTGGGAAGTTTTGATTCAAGTCTGTGAATGTTGACAAGAGCACTGCAATTGTACCCAGCTAAGGCTGTTGCTGGCAAGAAATTTTTGGGATGCTACGTGTTTCGTTTTCTGCGTGACCAATTTCGTTTTTGCATGACAGGCAAGACCTGCCCCTTTCCCTGCCCGTGAAACTGCACAGATTTAAGAGTCATACCAGGCACGCATGACAAACTCAAACTTGCATGACATACGTACTTACTCGAGACCCAGAGAACATATTTGCAATGCGTAGTCGCCCGCAGATGACGAAGAGGACGCCGAAGACGATGCGGAATATCAAATGCAAAAGCGTCTGGGTCTGGAAGAGTGCATGCTTGTCATGCTTGTCTGGCATGACTCTTAAATCTGTCATGCACGTTACCCAAGAGCCCCATTTTGCTGTCATGCAGAAACGCAGTCTGCCATGCAGAATAGGCAACACCTAGAAGCTCAAAAGCTTGTCATGCTGAGCCGGCACTTGTGGCCTCTTCATGATACGCCACCCAGCATCACAAGTTTCCAGAACCAGACATTTTTACAATCCATACGGAAAGCAGGTTGGCAATGGATCCCGGTTGTACTTTCAACACGTCGTCTGCTGGTGCAGTTCTACTTTGGCCGATCATGTCGTCCGCAAAAGTAACCCCTTTATTGGTGTTCGACGTGGATGTTGCAAAAGAACTTGCGGAAGAGGAGGAGTTGGAGGGTGCTGCTGCAACCGCTGGTACAACTCCTGGTAGTGGGGAATAAGGCAGAGCTTTTTTCGTCCAGGTGTCAGAACCGGCTTGCAGGAATGATAAAGCTGTAGATCCTCCGCTGCTGATATTCGCCGGGCCGGTTTTGTTACTCCTTGAATTTCCTGTCCCCGTTTCGGAAGGTTTCGGCTCCCGGACCGGCGGGTTGCGGTCCAAGACCCGTTCCACATCCAGCCGATACTGCTCCATCTCCGCTTCCCGTTCCGCTTGGGTCTTGTAATTCAGGTAGTTGAAGGCTGCCCGGGCATCCGGCTGAACATAGTCGGTCTCGACATGATTCGTCATGCTCTGCTTTGATCCACCGACAGCTTCACTGTTCCTGATTTCCATCCACCGGGTTATCCCACGAAAAAAGTGTTACAACAGTTACTACACACTTGTAGTCAATTCAGCAACACAAATTTCTCTGCATGAGAGAGAAAACTTGTAATGCAGAAATCCTACGGGAAAACACCTATGAAACGAGGCTCATATGCATATCCGGCATGTCAGAGCTTGGGTGTCTTGCTTGGCCTGCAACACAATGTGTAAGAACTGTAACACTTTTTTCCTGTGATACGAGTTGCTGCGGAATTACTAGGCGGCGACTTGCTGCCGGAGGTTGCGCGGGGGCGAGAAGAGGAGGAGGAAGAGGATGCTCGTCCTGCATTGTTGTTCATCAACATTCCACCAGCTCCAGACGAGGCACTACTGTATTGGCCGGGCCGGTAGTTAAAAGCATTTCTGGTGCCCGAGGAACTTGAAGCGATTTCAGCAGGGACAGCAACCGCGTCCACAGTGTCAAACAGGGACGCTTTGGTCAGCAGGGAAGTCACATCCTTCTCCCACTCTTTGCTGTTGGACCGGATGGACTTGTACGCCAGCCCAGTGTAACTCCCCCCATCCCCCTCGGAAATCCCGTAGGTAGAGAGGAACACGTTGTTCGCGTGGCCACTCAGATCCGCCTGATTCGTATTTGTGGTTGTTGTTCCAACACTTGCATTTGTGATGGATTTCTTGCTGTTGGTCAGCGGGATGAACCGTTTCTCGATCGGCTGGTGGTTTATCGACCGCGGACTGGCGATTTTCAATCTGTCCCCCGGGTTGATTTTCGTTCTAGGGGACAAAGGCGAGCTCTGCCCGGGCCCGGACGCGGAGAAGCTGTAACTGCCATAGGGGAGGATCTGCGACGCCTCGCCGCCAAGTGGCGTTGGGTTATATTGGAACGCATTGCTATTTGTAGTGGTTCCGGTGAACGAGGTATCCCATGTAAAAACATCCCCAGCTGCCCAGAGTTGTCATGCGGATTTGCAAGCACGAGAGCATTTGCAATGCGAATCCCCATGAGAGGCATGATTTCCCATTGTGTTTTAGAACTTGTAATGCTGTAAACAGGATGAGGAGACGGATTTGTCATGCGGCTTCCCTTGCTATGCTGCACTTCAGTACAGCCTGCAACTTGTCATGCGTGACTCCCAAAACTTCAAGGTTTGTGTTTCAGAATCCCCATCTTGTCTCTGGGGTGGGGATGTTTTTACTTAGGATACGGGGCACCGCTGATGGAACTGTTCCCAAGCAACTTTCGATTTGTGCCGTACAAATCTCCGAGTAGGTCCGGATGGCGAAACTTCTCAACCAGCTGCGAGAGCCAGGTGAGGATGTTTGTCGCGGTTGACAAGGACGTCTGTGGCGCCGCACCGGAGACCCCCGCAGCAAGCCTTAACCGGTGCGACAACTCGTCCGCGACGTAACCCAAGTAGGTTCTCTATCCATAGGAAATAATTTCCTGTGCACGTCGTACAAATACAAATTATGCGGCTTCTGCATGACAAAACCTACCTTCCATCCTATATTAGCATGACAAGTGGCATGTTCTAAATGATAGCAAAGTTTGTGATGCATTTTGTCCGTGTACGGGAATAAATTTACTGTGGATATTCTCAATTCCCGGAGGTAGGCCCTGTCCCGATTGTAGGACTCTAGTGCGGAATTGCTGATGTTGGTTGTGATCGTCGAACCAGTGGCGCCGAAAACACTTGCTCCACCAGATCTACTATGCAAGGCGAAAGTATCGTCCGTATAAATTGCAGTACAGCATGAGAGGTCTGGTTCCTTTCTATTGCTAATTCAGAATCTACTATACAAATTCCATTTTTCCGGTTGAAAACATAAAAGTTTGCAATGCCATTTCTACTACTACGATACTTTTGCAATGCATATCTCCCATGATACGACCCGGAAGCGCCACTCGCACCTGGCGGTTGTGGCATGAAGACGATCTCCACATCCCGCTCCATCGGGCCGGTTTGCACCACGGAATCCCGCACCTCCTCCACGAGCCTGACGTCCCCCACCAGCTCCGTTTGGCACGCCTCTGCGAACTGGGTGTTCTTCATGAAAGCGTGGAGCCCGATTCTCATCAGCAAATTATCCCGCTTCGCGTTTTATGAACTGCAAAAGCAGCGTACTAGTATAAATAGCATCACAAAAACAAATTCCGTCAGAATTAGAAATGGGATTTGTAATGCTGTTTGACCTTAGGAAGAAGATTTGTCACGCATGTTTGCAATTAGAAGTACGAGCACGATGCTTGTTTTGCAGTTCATACGTTCGTGTGGGCGTTTTTCACCTCCCCCTTGAAGACCCGGTGTGCCTGCATGTTGGTGATCAATCTCTTCAACATATCACAGGAAAAAGCGTATAACGTTAACGGAATTTCTGATGCAGTAATGCATCACAAAACGTGCCCAAATTTGTCATGCATAGCATGCATGCTAAGCAAGATTTGTGATGCATATTTGCAATCTGTGAAAACCGTTAACGTTAACACTTTTTTGTTTGATACAACAGCGCTAGTGTGACGTCGAACCCTATCAAAAGCAAAAATTCCTCCTCGTCCCCATTTCGAGAACGAAATTTGTCATGCACAAGCTGTATTTGAGTATACAAGTCGACTTGTATTGCCAGAAGGCCAAGAGCCGCAGGCGTGGCCTTGTTTGCAGGCGGTTTCTCATGCTGTCTCCCGCTTCCAGCTGCCTCCTGTCATGCTGAAGATGCAAGGCCTTCCCACGCCATCAAGCACTACAGTCCTCGCCTTTATTTCCTTTCTAGCATGACAAGGCTGATTTGTGACCACAAATCTGCATCACAGATTTCCGTTTTGATGTGGGGAGGGAGGATTTTTCTTCTTGATAAACCCACCACAGGCGGACGGATGAGAATCGAACAGGTATTGCAAGCCCTCCAGCTCGTGCAGGTCGAGTAAGTACTCAAATCTCGTGTCGTGTTGGATGTCGAGGTATGGATTGCAAAAATGTCTCGGTCTGGAAACCTGTGATGCTGAATTGAGCATGGTTGAAGCGCTTGCAATGGCAGCCAAGCATGACAAGTTTTCATACGCCTGCTGATGCCTGGCACGCATCACAAATTGCGTTTTTGCATGACAAAGGAAGCCCCTCTTTTGCTACTCATGCAACAGAGATTTTCCAGGAGTCCAAGACACGCATCACAAGTTCCACTGTTCCAGACCCAGCCATATTTACATTTGATACTAGGTCGGGAACGCCGAGCCGTTTTTCGACGTTCAGTTTGAAGGACTTCTGGTACTGATTTTCGAAGAATCGTTTTATCAGCATACCGCGACGTTGCGAGGGCGACATGTCTCTGGTGTGTGCAGCGTCTTCGTTATCGTGAGGAAAAATCCCCCCTCCCCATACCAAAAAGGAATACTTCTGAAGATTTGTGATGCTGATCTGTGGCCACAAATCGCCTCTGTGTTGCATCAAGAAGGCCAACTCAGTGACTCCGCTGCGTTATGCAGGCGGTTTGTGATGCTATGGCGCCTACAGAGTACACATTTGCCATGCTACGCCAAAACCCTTCTAGCTAGGGTTAGTATGGACTTGCATTCCTCTGCTGCAAGAAAGAGCTGATTTGTGTACGCAAATCCAGCATCAGAAATTTCCTTCTGATATGGGGAGTGGGGGGTTTTCCTTTTGATATTCGTCGGAATCGGTATCCGTCGCGAGTTTGACCCGTCGGGTTTGTGTCCTCCCACGCGAAGTAGCGTCTTGGTCACCATAATTTCTACTCCGGCTCCTGCTACTGGACGATCCGCCAACCTGGTAGTTGAAATCGAGTGGCGATCTTATCCTTCCGACCTGACCCGGGACTGGTAAATGTGAGCTGTTCACGAAGGATGACGCTGTTGCTCCTGCCCTCAGGTCGTTCATTTCGGGCGAAGGAACAACATGTATCCGATAGGCGGGTGGCTCGCGGGAGGAGGATCTGCGTAAATGTCCGGTGGCGATGATGGCCTGTTGCTGTTTCAGAGATGAACTGTTTGATGCTCCTATCCCACGAAAAACGTGATACAGTTACACATTTGTTGGAGTTTCTGCATCACAAAGTTGCTCGTCGACATGCCAAAGCAAACCTGCGATGCGCAGACTATAAGGGAAAACACGAATGAAATGAGGCCGCCAAGCATTTCCTGCATGACAAAGGTTGCCTGTCTTGCTTGTTTCGCAACACAATGTGTAACTGTCACACTTTTTTCTTCGCATAGCTCCTGGGTTATAATTATTTCTTGCGTTTGGCGGACTGAAGTCCCCCTCGTCCCTATGAGAGTGTCAGAATCGAAATCGTCGAAGTTGAAATAATCTGTAATGCAAAAAAACGATACCAGCTGGAGCCCAGTTTGCAAGTGGCGCATGACAAATTTTGGCAGCATGGAAATCCAATTTGTCGTGCTGTTTGAGCAGAGAAGACTGCTTTTGTCATGCTATTTTAGCAGCTCTATCTCACACCCCGAGCAGGCTAATAATCGGTATCGGCCTCGGTTGCCTGCTCTGCAAGACAGGCACTTTGCGTCTAGCATTTTATGCATCACAAACTATTTCAACTTTGACGATTTCAGTCCTGACGCTTCCATAGTCCCACATGTCTGCGTAATATTTCCCGGGTTCGTCGTGTTCTTTTATTCTCACCTTCCTCTTGAACTTCATATGGTCACGGTAGCTATCAAATGCAAATATGTCTGGGTTTGGAATAAACTTGTGATGCTAAAGTGTAACTGGTGGGCGGACTGCAATACGCAGCCAAGCATGACAAATTTTTGAACTGCTACGGTGTTTCGTTTTCCGCATGGCAAACGGTGTTTTGCATGACAGGCAAGAGGCTCTTTTCCTGCTCATGCATTACAGATTGATTTGAGTCATACCAGACAAGCATGACAAACTTGCACTCTTCCACACCCAGACTACACATTTGCAGTTCATAGTAGCTTCGGGGGGACAGAGACCTTGGTCCGGTACCTCGCATGTACTCAGGTTCGTAGCCCTCGCGCAGGTAGTATGCAATACAAATCTTACATCAATCGAGTACAGTACTACGCACCACGAATTTTCGCATCACAAATTTCGTCAAGCTGTCATGCTGAGCCTCGTCGTTGGGAAAAAGTTAAGGCATGTAATCATGCTGCGATGCCAGTATGTTGTGAGCGTGTTTTTGTGAGCAAGATGTTGATGTTTTTACTGCGGATAAGTAGTGATACTCGTTGAAATACTGGGATCGGACGACAGACGCATCAAGACCACGCGACTGAATTTGCCGGCCAATGCTGCAGTGAAGAAAATTTTCTTTATTCAGTAAGTATTAAATTTTCTACATTTATTTTTGCATTGCGCGAATAAATCTATGCAAAATAATAAACATGCAGATCTCAGTTTGTCGTCATGTGATGCTTCTTCTTGTAGAAAAGCACCACGACCTACTAGAAGTACTCACTCGTTATACCGATTCCTCTCCCGCAAGTCCCTTGCTTCAAGCAGAACGCGGTCCACATTTCCGGTGACCAAACCCCCGCGTCGGTTCCCAATGGTATTCTATGGGGTTCTCAAACGTTACACTCTCAACTGTTACATGATTTGTCATGCAAAATGACCATGACCCGCCAGACGATCAAGCTGCTTCGCATGACAAATTCTCGGAGGGCTAAATAGCACTGTAGTCCGCACCAAACCTGTAATGCAAGACGCGCAAGATTCTCCCTCTTACCTGTGCTAGTCTTGCATTACGAATTCATGGAACAGTTGAGAATGTAACGTTTGAGAACGCCATATATTCACTTCGCAGCTTCTGGTGTAGTGAAAGTACCACGCGCGCTACATATGAAATGCAAAAGCATCGTACTAGTATAGATTGCAATACAAATTGGCTCAGCATTACAAGTTGAATTTGTAATGCGGATTTGCCTTAGGAACTAGATTTGTAATGCATAAATGCAATTAGTACGACTACGATACTTTATTTGCAGAGGATACCACACGACCAACAGCAAGTACCGGTTTTGCACACCGGAGTTCTTCCGGACCAAGCACGACAGGCTGAATTTGTAGTCGTGTTTCCGGTTTTCTAGCAGCCGGTTTCCCTTCATATCGAAGACAGAACTGGCCCAGAGTTCCAAGTGTCTGCGCAAGCAGAACCGTTCGTTGCGGTGGTACACGTATCTCTCCAGTGCGTGATTCCGCCGCTCCTTGCGCAGAAACGTCAGCCAGGACGCGAACGCCTTATGCATTTTTGCAAATATCCACCCTGGATGATGTCTGGACTTTTTGTGATGCGAGAGTTGAAAGACAAGAGGATCTGTGATGCGGGAATACGAAGATGCAGGCCAACACCAGCTTTTTTCTCATGCTGGAAGCCAGCTCTTTGCGATGCGTAGTTTTATGAATGAATCCGCTACCAGCCCGGAAACTTCTGATGCTGCTGTTCTGCCGCACAAGCGGCCACGACACTGCAATCCGAGTACTATCAGTATGACTCCAGACAACCCAGATCGATATTTGCAATGCATACGCGTCCGTCTTCATCAATTTCTCGTCTTGCGCCCCCATCGCGAAGAACATCTTTCGTATTCTGCCCTGCCGTTCTTGCAGCAGAAGCATGTTCTTCTCGGCTAACTGTGCTTCGTGCCTACCTAACTGGACTTCCTCCAGTATCCTGTGCGAAAGTATAATCGTGCTAGTAGTAATGATCGCAGTCATGCATGATTACAAATCTCCATCCCAAGGTAAAACAGCGTGACAAATTGTATTTCTCATGCTCCTGAGCAAACTTGTAATGCGATTTACACTACTAGTACGATACTTTTGAAATGCATATCCAGCCATCCGCGCCAGCACTTGTTGAGCATTCCGATTCGGGTGATCATGAAGCCGTAGAAACCGAGTTTCTCCTGTATGGCGTGCTCAAGTGTTACAATCTCAAACGTTACAATAGAATATGGAAATCTGTATTGCAAGAAGTGCATAGTCTACGCTAATCCCACAGGATTGCGCATGACAAGTTCTGGAGTCCCAATCCGCGCTAGAATCTGGCGAAATTTGTATTGCAGAAAGTGGAACACTGTGCGAGTCTGTCATGCTGACCAGGTAAGGCAAAATCCAGATTCTATTGTAACGTTTGAGATTGTAACGTTTGAGCAGGTCATATCCTGTTGACTGGTTTTGAACTTCATGAACTCCTCGCATTTTTTCTGGAACTCGTACGTTTTGCGATTCCTCTTCGCTTCGACGCCCCTCGTTCTCCACGCCATAAAAAAGGCGTCCATTGTGTCCTTCTTGTGCCTATGCACTGCAAAAGCATTGCACTCGTAGCACTTGCAGTTATGCATTACAAATCTTTTTACTAAGGTCAATCAGCACTACAAATTCCATAATTTCTCATGCTGATAAAATTTGTAATGCAGTTCATACTAGTTGTACGATGCTTTTGCAATTCATAGTGCCTCCACGCTGACAAGTCCTCGCTCGCTTTCAGGCACTGGTCGTAGGTCTCCTGCAGCACCTCGCACTTGTTCCTATCCACGAAAAAACAACACCCATCCCGATCCATTTTTTGCATCACAAACACTGCATTTCTGCAACATCTGCAATTTATGCATGTTTTGCATGACAAATTGGATGGGAATGGGTGTAGTTTTGTCCTGGATAATTCAGCGCCAGCTCGTATTTCGTTTCCGCGAGTTTTAGTTTCATCTCCCCGGACTGCTGGGTTATCATCTTCAACAGTGCGTCGCCGTTGCGATCGAGCAACTTCTGCACGATCGCCTCCCACCTGATTGTCACCTTGAAAATCCCGTGCTCTGCGTTGAGCCGTTCGAACTCGGACATTTTTCCGGTTATTTCCCGCTCGTTCGATTCACCTGTGGCGTAGTCTCGCTCGGTATGGGCATTCGCAAGCGTTTTTACGTTGTCAGCTGCTACACGAATTATTTGTGATGCAAGACTAGCAAAAGTGAGTGGGGGTGATGTGATGAGACTCTCGCATCATAAGTTTCTTGGCACAGATTTCCATGCTTTTTAGCCCTTCCTCGAGTTTCTGTGATACAAAGCACCACGACAGTGATGTGGCAGCATATCTGCGGTGACTCTACCTGACGAAAAATCTTCACGTTACAGTTGAGAACGTAACACCTTAGAATCCCAGCATACCAGGCGCGGATAGCTTTCATCAGTTGCTTCATCTGGGCTTTCTTCATCCAGGACTTGTACAGATGTTCGACCTGTGATTCATTAAATTCTAGATTTTTTTACGTTTTGGCTTTGATACGAGATTGATGATGCAGAAGTAAGTACATGTTGCTGCTCTGTACAGCCGGCCCCTCACACTACACGACTGTCACTCCTGCATACTTAATTGTGCTTCTAGATGAACAAGCTTCAACATCTCCATCAAAGGAATTAGTACCATCTTATCCTGCGTCTTTCCTTCCTCCGTCTGTTTTTTCCAGACCGCGAAACACCTGTTTGGCCCGACCATGAGCTGTATCAAATGCAAATATGTCTGGCCTGGAGAAATTTTTCCAGGTTTGCCATGCATATTTCCCAAGACCCATAAGGTCTGTGATACATGCTCTAGCATCACAGATTCTGGGAGGGCTTCCTGATGGTCATGCCGCATGAGAAATGCCCGCTCCGCGTAGCAAAAACTGGACCACTTCTTTTGCTGTTCATGCAACACAGAAGATTTTGTGTAGAGTCCCAAGGCAGCATCACAAATTTGCAACCCTCCAGACCGGGATAATATTTGCAATTCATAAGCTGCATATCGGCGCACATTTTGTTCATCATCATCTGCATGCGGTCGCCGTGGAAAGCGTTCAGCTCTGCTCTCAGCTATGAAATGCAGAAGTATGATTGTACTCGCATAAATGCATTACAAACTTTCTCAGTATGACATAATGCGGATTTACCTTGAGAAAAAAATTGTAATGCATGATTGCAATTATTGCGAGTTGTACGATACGTTTGCAGTTCATATCACCCTTGCACGGTCGATCTCCATCGACCACTCCTTGAAAATTTTGTACTTCTGTGCGAGGCCCCTGTGAAGAGATGTTGAATCATTTTTCGAATTTTCGGCAATAATTTTCATCACGCATGACGAACATGTTTCTCGTATTTCTTCACTACGGTCGTAAAGGAATTTTTATTTTACGCATGCTGATTTCTGCATCTACTTCGAGTGCACAGCTTTGCAAGATGAAAAACGTCAGCAAAAACAAGTCCACTAGAGTCAATACAAATTTATAAGTACTTTCTCTTTTTCAGATGGCTGACCCCGTTCATGGTCAGATTCGCTGCGTCCTTGGCCGCTCGCAATTGCGCCGACCACACTTTCGTAAACCGCCACATGTGGATATGAGAGTGCACAACTCCCCCTCCACCTCAGTTACATGGCATCAATTGCAATACAAACACCAGCACACTTGGAGCCCGAGCATGACAAGATCCTGAGCCTACTGTAGTACTGTTTCAGGTTCCGAATTTGTCATGCAGACCGTGCCACATCGCAGCGATAGGATTTCGGATTTTGCATGACAAATGAGGCTGAGGGGGAGGAGGAGCTGTGCACTCTCATATTGGAAAGCGTGCTTTAGGGAGACCGTGTGGTCCCACTTCGCCTGAAAATACTCCTTGTGCTATCAAACAAAAAACTGTTAACGTTTTCACAATAAATGGCAGTCCTGCAGCATTGCAAATTTTGCCTTCCATGCATGCTACGCAATACAAATGTGGGTACCTTTTCTGATGCGTTACTGCATCACAAATTCCGTTAATGTTAACCCTTTTTCTTGTGATATGTGCTCCACGAACCGCGCCCGCATCTTCGTCCGGGTTCGCCAATAGACTCCCCACATCTTGAAGCAGACCGCGGCGGTCTTCTTTGTTTTTTCGTACAGAACCTTTCGACACGCTTTCTCGGTATCCAAGGAAAAAACTGTGTTAGTGTAGGTCTTTTGGGAAAACAGCATGACAAGTTTGTCTGCCATGAGCTGCATGACAGGAAAAACTTGTGATGCGCAGATAGGACTGGCAAACAGAAACACGTAGGAACAAGCGATCCTATCATGCAACAGGTGGAGCATGACAAGCGTAAACTGTTTTGCATTTTCTGCATCACAACATCACTTACACAGTTTCTCTTTTCGATACTCGGCTCGTCGGTTGTACTCCGTGAAGCTGACCACGCAGAACTTCTGCCAGATAATGAAGAAGTCCTCTTTGCATTGGGATACGTGGCATCAAATGCAAAAGTGTCTGGGTCTGAAAGAATGCAACCTGTGATGCTGAATTTTTTTTTTTTTTGCTAGGCAATTCGCACGCCGGTCGGTTTTCGCATTCTTTTTTTTGTTTTTTTTTCTATTTTCATTTTTTTTTTCCTTTCCTTTTTTCCTTTTCTTTTCTTTTTTTTGTTTTTCTTCATTCCGACACAGCTGGCGCACAAAAAGCGGTGGGCGATTCACGAAGAAGTGCGCGGGTATGCTCGGCGTTCCCGAGGCCTTAGGCCGTACCTTTTTGACAAAATCCGGGCTGCGTCCTGGCTCGCGTCCTGGCTCCTGCATTGCCTCCGCCCTTCTCTTCCCTCGCAAACAGGCCGCGCCCATCTTCCGCGCCGCACGCGTGCATGTGCGCGGCTACGCCAGTTCGTTTTGTGCTTATGCTTTAGACTAAGACAAAGAACTTCGAAAAACGGTATGGACTACTTACCTAATACTTTGGTGCTGCGTAGTACTGCTATCGGAATCAGACTCTACACCTTATGACTTCATTGCAACAATGTCACTGGCCGCAGCCTTAATCTTACCCAGCCAGCCACTGCTGAAAAAAAAAAGGAAGCACATCCCTGCAGTTTTGGAAAAAGGCGCAACGAGTGGGGGGGGACCACAGGAGTCACCCCCCCGCAAGCTGCGCACGCGTTGAAGTATCTGCTGCTTATTTCTACATGAGGCATTTGCTTCGTCACGTAGTGCTTCCAAAAAACGAACTGCTTTTACGAACCTGTGATGCTGAATTTGGATTCCAAAAAAATCTGTATTGCATGAGCAGCAAAGGGAGCGCAATGTTTGCTACGCGGGGAGGGCATTTGTCATGCGGAATAGGCATCGAGAAGCCCTCAGAAAATCTGTGATGCTAGGGCATGCATCACAGACATCGCGGCTCATGCAAAATGTGCATGACAAGTCTCAGAATCTTCCAGACCCAGACATTTTTGCATTTGATACGTGGGACTTTATCCTCTTCCGGATTTTCTTTTCGTTTATCACGATTTTTTTCCAGTACTTGAGGACGTTCGTATGCATCGCAAATATACCGGAGTTTCGATGAAAAATCCAAATGTCTGCCATGCGGTTTCTGCGCGAAGACCCAGAAGGTTTGCCATAATGCGAGCCCTAGCATCACAAATTTTTAGAAGCTTAGGTTTTGAATCCGCAATGCTCTGCATGACAGATAATTCCCTTTTACAAGAAGTGGGCAGCTTCTACTTTTGCTGTCCATGCGTGAGAGGTTTTATTTTTAGTATGATGTGATAGAGGCCGCGCATCAAACATTTGCGTAGTTCCAGACCCAGACATATTAATTTGCGATGCACAGTTCGTCTTAATCTTCAGCTTTACCTCGTCCGTTTGCTTCGAGGATGCGCCGCCGATGTAGGACATGAGTCGCATCGCAGTTTGCTGCTGGTACTCTAGGTGGGTTCGCTGCAGCTCGGCGTGCTCTCGGGTTTCCCGGACGCAGTTTGACCAGTATGCATTGCAAAAGCATCATGGTATCTTCGCATCACAATTTTTTTCTGCACGAGTAAAATGAAATTTCTTATGCAGAAGTAGAAATAGGTTTAGGTAATGGTAAAGGAAGCACATAATAACAGAGATTTTTGCGATTACTGTGAGTGCGAAGAAACTCCTGCTTTTGCGAAAATGCGTAGCCAGGCATTCATCACGATGATGAGTCGTCTCTTCTTCTGCTCGCGCCGACACACAGATTGGATCGCGCGGTTCCGCAGTCCTAGCTTTTCCCAGATCGATTTCCACCCCAGGTAAAACCTTTGTTTTACCGCTCTCCCCTCCCATTTCTGCAGCGCATTTTCCTTGGCCTTTTCCCCCTGGGCGTGGCTATCACAAGAAAAAGTGTTAACGTTAACCGAATTTGTGATGCAGTGATGCATCAGAAAAGGTGCGCAAATTTGTATTGCAGAGCACGCATGGAAAGTAAAATTTGTATACGCATGACTGCCATCTGTGAAAACCGTTAACGTTAGCACTTTTTTGTTTGGTACTGCCCTTGGGCAAGCAAGGCCTCCTGCCGGAGCCTGATAGAAGAACAAAGGGGAGAGCGATCGTTTTTCTTTCTGAGAAGTAGATTTTGCATCAATAATTGTTATGCGGTAGCGGTTGCTGATGCTGTACTAGTGGGAAATAAGCTATGAATTTACAGAGAGGTCGACAGAGGTGGAGAGGTGGCGCGGGAGGTCATTCGAGGGGGTGGCCGAGAGGTGGCGCGGGTATAGCCAGCCGAACCGTTCACCCTAAAGCCGCGCCTATGGGGGACGGAGGTGGCCGAGAGGTTCGGGAGAGGGTAAGCGAGAGGGGGACAGAGGTGCCGAGAGGTTGCGCGAACAAGGGCGAACCTCTCGCGCACCCTCTGGGCCACCTCTCGGCCACCTCTGTAGACCTCTACCGGCGAGTATAGCCGGATTATTAGCAACACCTCTCGGGAGAGGTCAAAAAGAGGGTCTGCGAGAGGGGTAGAAAAACCCGAATCCACCCGGCACGAGGCTGATTCTTTTGTGGCCAGGCCTTTTCATGCATAGGCTGGCCCGAACCCTCTCGCGCACCCTCTCGCGCCACCCTCTCGCGCACCCTCTCGCGTCACCCTCCCGCGCAACCCTCTCGCGCCACCCTCCCGCGCCGGGCGGCTTCTGTTCGCCCCCGGTGTCCTTTGCAGCTGCTCCCTGCGCAGAGCGCCCACAGGCGCGGGAAGCGCGCAAGTGGTCGCGCGGGTTGGCGCCGCGCAAACAGGCGGCAGGACTCCAGTATGCTTCATTATGCATATTAGGCCTGTGGCATTGTGGCCCGATCCGCAAATAGTCCTGCCCCGCCCCAACAGCCTTGCGCCCCGGCATCAGCCGGGGCATGGCTGGTAATTGTCCTGCGGTTGCTGATGCTGTACTAGTGGGAAATAAGCTATGCACTTACTTTACTACAACTTCACCTTATGTTGCAGCTTCTCGTCATGATAACTGGTCGGTCATCGGAACAAGATAAAGCTGCAGATCCGGTTATGTAGTGGGAGTAGGTCGTTAGGTCGTCGTCGTCGTGTCTATCTCTAGCTTCGATCCTCTGATTATACTTCTACACAATCTACCTCTACCAACTACGCAGTTGCCGAGAGCGACGACGTCGAGCTCGAGTCGTGTGAACAATAAAACAGTTGTATAAGAAGAAGTACTACCTTAAAGCTTCTCTTTCTTCTTCTTGCATGACCTTTATCCCGTTCCCCCAGGCGTCAAACAGTTCGCGTTTCTGGTCGCGATCGGCATTATCAACTGCAAAAGTGTCTGGGTCTGGAAGAGTGCCAGACTTGTCATGCAGGTTTTGCATGACCCATGAGGTCTGGTCTGGTATGTAAGACATAGCATGACAGATTCTGTAAGAGTTCTATCATGCCTATCCTGCATGAGAAACTGCCTCTCGATTACGTCAAAAGTGGACAGCTTTTGGTAATCATGCAACACAGATTGTTTCTTTACCTAATTCAGATTTAGCATGTGCATGACAAGTTGCGTTGTTCCAGACCCAGACACTTTTGCATTTGATACGCATCCTTTTTGAACCTTTTCACTAGCTTATGAGACTGCACAACTACTCCCCCTCCCCCTCACTTGTCATGCAGAATACCAAAACCAAGCGCTCCTGCTGTGGGGTACTGTTTGCATGACAGATTTCGGAAGCCCAAACAGTACTACACTAGGCGCGCGGTGAATTTGCCATGCACAGGCTCCGCGTGCGGTGGTGTTTGTATTGCTGTTCATGCAATACAAATGAGAGGGAGGGGGAGCTGTGCACATTCATACAGCTTGTTATTCCATTCCTCCATCCTCGCTTCCCTCCGCAGAGCGTCCAGCCCGTCCCCCCAGGCCTTCACGATCCACGTCTTGATGTGTTGTCGTTTCTGCTTAATCCGTATCCACAGTAAATTTCCCGTACACGTACAAATGCGGTCTCCGCATGACAAAACTTGGCTTCGATCCTAGTTTAGCATGACAAGTTTTAGGCTCCAAATTGGTGAAATTTGTGATGCATCTTGTACATGTACGGGAAATTTGTATTGCATAATTCGCAAGTTCCAGCGGTCCCACGCGTGCGCCTCCTTTTCTTTGCGCTGCTTCAACTCCTTGAACCAGCACTGAAATGTCCAGGAAAGCAGCTGCTCTTCCGCCTCCGCGCCCTTCGCTTGCGACCGCATTGCGAGGTTGGCCATGGACCGCTGTATCGATTCCAATTTCGCCTTATCCGCCTGCAGTTTCTGTTCCATCATCATCTCATTGTTCTTCGTTATTATCAACTCCTTCTCAGTGTCGGCGCGCCAGAGCTTTATGATCACGAGTATGGGGGTGTCAGGATCGAAATCGACAAACTTGAAACGATTTGCCATGCATAAAATGGAACCCAGTTTTCAAGTGGCGCCTGACAAATTTTGGCTGTGCCTAAATGCAGTCTGTAATGCTGTTTAGGAACAGAAGGCGTCTTTTGTTATGCTACTTTAGCAGCTCTACCGCAGACCCCAAACAGGCTGACAGTCGGCCTCAGTCACTTGCCACCCCGGCAAGAGAGGCACTTCATGCCTTGCAATTTCTGCATGAGAAATTATTTCAACTTTGTCGAATTCAGTCCTGACGCTTCCATAACGAGCTTCGTCCGCATATCCGCCTCGGAGAACGCCTATCATCTGCAAAAGTAATGTCGCACTCGTAGCAAGAATTGCAGCTAATGTGCATGACAAGTCCAATTTTTTACCTGAAATAGCATGAGAGATAAAAGCATTTTTGTTCCGATGAAAATCAAAATTTGCCATGCAATTCATACTAGTACGATAATGCTATTGCAATGCATAAAGCCCCGCCCATCTTCGCTTTCGCCTGGTCGACGCAGTACAGCAATGCTATGGCATTCTCAAATGTTACATTCTCAACTGTTACATGAGTTTGTGATGCAAAAATGGCAAAAGTACAAGTAGAAGGGGTGGCCTTGTTGCGCGTCTTGCATGACAGATTTCTTGGGGCAGATTCTCATCCTGCTTGCCCTTCGAGAGTTTGTCATGCGAAGCAGCTTGATCGTGTCGATTCTGATTGCAGTTTTGCATGACAAACTATGTAACAGTTGAGGATGTAACATTTGAGAATCCCATAAATGCGCGCTGCTTGGCCGCCTGGTCCCGTTCTTTTTTCCAGGTGAAAAAAACTTTCATCTTATCAAACAAAAAAGTGTTCATTTCACAGAATGCAGTCACGCAGGACAGATTCTGCCTAATATGAATGTTATGCATGACAAATTTGGGCACGACGTTTTGTGCTCATGCGTCACTGCATCACAAATTCCGTTCAAAGTTAACACTCTTTTCTCTGATACATCTTCACCGTCCTACCCCGAAACTTCACGGCGGTGCGGTGTCTATGCATTGCAAAAGTATGCATCGCACTCGTATAAATGCATTACAAATTTCATCAGCATGACAAATAAAATTTGTAATGCTGATTTACCTTAAGAACAAGATTTGTAACGCATGATTGCGATACGAGTACGATACTTTTGCACAGGATAGTGTCGATGCTTGTTCGCGACGTGCACCGTTTTCGCGATCTGTAGCGCGAACAGCTCGTGCTTCACAGCGAGTGTAACGTCCTTCCAGCCGTGAAAAGCCGCGCGCATGACGTTGCCGTCAATCTGGACGCATCCTGTGCAAAAGTGTCGCAGTCGTAGTAATCTTCGCAGTCATGCATCACAAATCGTTTTCTTGAGGCAAATCCGCATTACAAATTCCATTCCTAATGCTGAGGAAATTTAATTAAATATGCAATTTATACTACGTACGACATACTTTTGCAATGCATAGGCCGCCCAGCATCAGGGGCATACGGCCCCGGACGAAGTTCTGGTAACGGGCGAGCAGGTATGCGTTGCAAATATGTCTGGGTCTGGGAACTTGTGATGCAAGGAGGGGAATAGGTAGCGCACTGTAAAAATGCGCTACCAAGCATGGCAAGTTTCTCGGTGGTTCTGAGTTGCGTCCTTCGCATGAGAATAAACTGCGTTTCTGCATCATGCCAGGCAAGAAGAGCTCTTTGTGGCCACACAATACAGAGTTCAGGGTCATGCCAGGCTAGCACGACAAATCTCGCAGTCTTCCAGACCCAGACATATTATTGCATTGGATAGCAGCCCGAAGGCGGCTCCGTTTTCTTCCGAGACCGACTTCTGTGGATGTGTCAGGATTGAAATCGACAACGTTGAAATAACTTGTAATGCATGAAATGAACGAAAGTTGTGACCCAGTTTCCTAGTGGCGCATGACAAATTTAGGTAAAGCCGATATCCAGTCTGTCATGCTTTTTGAGTAAGAAAGACGCCTTTTGTCATGCTACTTTAGCAGCTCAGTTTCTACCCCTCAACAGGCTTAGAATCTTCCTCACTTGCCTACTCTGCAAGGCAGGCACTTTGAGGGCTGCACTTTATGCATGGCAAAGTATTTCAACTTTGACGATTTCAAACCTGACGCTTCCATAACTTCAGGGACTCTTGTAGCAGTTCCTGCCGCTCGACAAAATCGGCCTCCTTTGCCTTTTCCTTCTGCTCAAAACGGGTCAGCAAGGTCTGCACCTCATGTTTGTGTTCCCGGTTTAAGTCTTCCCTTTCTATCCTGCGGAGACCCTCGCGGAGCTTGCGAATCATGCGGGCGACGTACCTGAAGTGGTTTTATTAACGCTCTTCTTCGATCCGATCGAAGTCGCACGGTCGTGTTCGTGTTTGTTGATATTTCGCAAGACAGTAGTAGTAGATTTGAATTTCATCTGCCTATATAGGTACGATTCGGTTTCGGAGCGCAAGCTATTTTTTTTTCCTCTTATTTCATCAACCCATCACGACATTTAATTCGACGTCAGGCATACATACACGACATCGACAACTGCAAAACAACTACATCAGGAAAGCCAAAGAACGCTTTGATTCTCAATATGATCAAAATAAATCAGTACCCTCTCATCAGCACCACGTCCGCTTGACTCGGGCGTGGTGGTGGAATCAGGAAGGGCTTTGCTCGGGTTCTCCTGCTATGCATTGCAAATAGGAACGACCTGGGTCGTGGGGCGTCTGGAAAAATGAATGCAAGCTCTGTCATGCTGCGCTAGCAGCAGATGTTATTTTTACAACCTGTCCCGACAGCACATCTTGCTGGAATTTTAGGACCAGCAGAGTACTAGAAAGATAGCTGCGCACGACTTCAGGAGCCGTTAGAAATACAAAGGCAGTGCAGCTCACATGGTGTTCATCGTCTCTGTTCGTTAACTACACGTGCTGCTGCTCTCAATGGTGGAGAAAATGAGATCGAGATGCTACGCAGACATGCGCATAGCCTATAATGTGACATCTCTAATTATTTTTTAATCAAATCATCGACATGTAGTTGCTGGCCACGACGTAATATTTGCAGTGGATACCTTATCGCAAGAAAAAAGTGCTACAGTTACACACTTGTTGGAGTTTCTGCATCAAAAAGTTGCTCGACATGGCCAAGAAAACCTGTGATGCACAGACTATAAGGGAAAACACGAATGAAATGAGGTTAGCAAGCATTTCCTGCATGACAGAGGTTGTCTGTCTTGCTTGTCTCCCATCAGAATGTGTAACTGTAACACTTTTTTCTCACGATATACCTGCCGGGATGATGACTCGAAGACGATCTCGTGTTGTTTCCGCCTTTTCCTTATCCTCTATCAAAGTTGCATCGCACTCGTTTGCTTGTCATTACTATTGTGCATAGCAATATTTTTTGTTCTTAGTCTTGTTCAATCAGCTTCAGCATTACACCATTATATTTTTTATCGTTTTGGTCAATTGTTTTTGTGCTTCGTACTACATGCAGTTTGTGGATATAGTACTGGCGCGGTGCAACAACTTTTGCCGTGCATATTCCGTGATCATGGTTACACGGCTTGCCGCTGATTTTGTGTGGACAGTAGGGGTTAAAGCCGTTGCGGTAGTAGGTCGTTGTGTTCGTCGCCAACGCCCCTCCGGTATCAACTGAAGACCTGTCATCTGGGTCTGGAAGGTGGTAACTTGTGATGTTGTCTTTGAATTCCAAAACAATCTGTATTGCGTGACTAGCAAGAGGCGTCCACGTCCAGTCTGTGCTACGCGCCGGAGAGGCATTTGGCATGCGGAATAGGCATCAGGAACAAGCCCTCTAAAAATATAAGGTGCTAGGGCATGCATCACACGCGTTAGGGGTCATGCAAAGTGTGCATGACAAGCGTCGCACTATTCCAGACCCAGACATATTTGCCGTTGATATCCGGGTATCCCCGGCGTACCGGGCGCGGACCGGCCTTCTTTGCTGTTGTGTTTCCGCTTGAAAGCGGAACCAACCGCGGCGAGTCCGTATGGAAGCGTCAGGATTGAAATCGACAAAGTTGAAATAGTTTCCCATGCATAAATTGCAAGGCATGAAGTGCCTCTCTTGCAGGGATGGCCAGTGAGGCCGACTGTCACCCTGTTTGGGGTATACTGCGATAGAACTGCTAGAGTAGCATGTTGACAAAAGACGTTTTATGTCCCTAAACAGCATGACAAACTGTTGAATTTAGACGGTCGTGCCGAAATTTGTCACGCGCCGCTGGGAAAGTGGGCTTCCAACTGGAGGTATCGATTTTATGCATTACAAGTAAAGATTTCAACTTTGTCGATTTCAGTCCACCTGACACTACCATAGTCCGTTCGACTCCTGTAGTATCCGCTCTGCGGATCCAGACCTTTTGTGGTTATCCAGGTACTCGCGCATCGCGGTCTCTTCCCTCTGTCAAATGTAAAAATGTCTGGGTCTGGAAACTTGTGATGCTGGGTGGCGTCTCACGATAAGGCCACAAATGCTCGCTCAGCATGACAAGTTTCTGAGCTTCTAGGTGTCGGTGTCGCCTACTCTGCGTGACAAACTGCGTTCCTGCATCACAGAAAAACAGAGCTCCTGGGTAACGTGCATGACAGATTTAAGAGTCATGCCAGACAAGCATGACAAACATGCATTCTTCCAGACCCAGACATTTTTGCAGTTGATACCCTCTGCAGGTCAACCATGGACACGGCCCGCTGGCTCGCACCGAAAAACGCACCCGACCCACCGGCTTCATCTGGCGACCCCGCGTGCGAGGAGTTTTTCGAGGTTATCGCGGAATTTTCTGGATGTGTCAGGTTTGAAATCGACAAACTGTCATGCACAAAATGGATACCAGTTGGAAGCCCAATTTCCAAGCGGCACATGACATAAACAGACTGTGCACCTGCGGGAATGGCATTGTGTTTCGGGTGAGTTGATCAACCCAAAGACATGACAAATTTTCGGAGCATGACAAATTTTCGGAGCACCGGAGTGATCCAATTTGTCATGCTGTTTGGGCACAGAAGACTGCTTCTGTGATGCTCCTTTAGCAGCTCTATCCCAAACCCTGAATAGGCCCACAATCTGCCTCACTTGCCATTCCTGCAAGAGAGGCACTCCATGCCTTGCATTTTATGCATGACAAACTATCTCAACTTTGACGATTTCATTCCTGGCACTCCCATAAATTTCTTGGCGGCAGGTTGGAGGGCAGTATCGTAAGGAAAAATCCCCCCTCCCCATATCAAAAAGGTACTTCTCGGAAAATTTCTAATGCTGATCTGTGACCACAAATCTTTTTGTCTTGCAAGAAGGCAATTCTACAGTCTCCGCCACATTATGCGCACGGTTTGTGATGCTGCTTGGGCTAAAGCATAGACATTTGTGATGCTAAGCGTCCACGTCAGACGCTTCGTTCTCAGGCACGGCATATGCCTGCAATCCTCTACTGCAAGACAGCTCTCATTTGTGTACGGAAATCCAGCATCACAAACTTCGTTTTGATATGGGGAGGGGGGATTTTTCCTCACGATAAAAAGCGCGTTGCCGTTTTCTGGCAGTTTGTCCAGCTCCTCCTCGAGGACTTGGGCGAAGGTCTATCGCAAGAGAAAACTGCTTCACTGTGAACTTGTGATGCAGAAACAGCATCACTGAAGTCTTTGTCTTGCTACACATGCAAGACAAGTGATTTTTAGTGGTATTTTCCCTTAGGATCCTTGCATGGCAAGTTTTCTTTGTAATGTGTAGCGAACTTGTAATGCAAAACTTGCAAAATCCTTACAGTGAAACAATTTTTTCTTACGATAAGGTCTCGAGGGAGTACATGATAGGCACTGAGAATCAATTGTGAAGGTAATAAACGAAGAAGTAGAAAAGACCACGATTAGACAAAAACTTTCAAAAAAAAGAATCAAGCCCCACAAGAACTTCTTCACATTAACACGACTTCTGTACAGCTATTGCAGTAGCTTTGCTTGCTAAAGGTCCTCTTTGCAGCTCTTGTTCGAGTTCAATCACAATCTCAATGCAGTAAGTATACTGGTAAATAAGTTTAAGCGTGCGTGGTCGTGATTATCTTGCTTCTTCCCAGGAGGCGGCTGCTCGCATTACATCTAAGCCCAGAAGCAACAAGCCAGCTTTTGTCGCTCGTGGGTAGGACAACACGAAACCAAGTAGCCGGGCTGGTACAAGACGATGAAACCACATCCGCTACATGCAGGACACAACTTAACCTTCGCGATTTTCAGCACATTTGAAGTCGCTCACACACTCGAGAAGGAGGGTCGGTCCTCCTTATATATTCAAGGTCGCACCACCATCGAAGCGGCACCTCCACCTCCCCTCACGACAGTCAAAGTATAGAATAATAAACGATAGTTGTAGTGTAACACTTTTGCACACGACATTGCAGGTTATTGTCTCTACTTTGCGCCCGAGGTTCTTTTGAAAAATTTTCCTCTCGTTGATGGACAATTTTGTCTCCATCTCTCAACTACATGATCTCTCTACTTTCGATCATCTGCTTCGCCCAACACTAATAGCGCAAGAACTTTTTATCAATGAGAACAACACAGTACGACCTCCTCTTATGTAATACAGCTACGACCTTCTGAGAACAGGAGAAGAAAACTGCACTGGATTTCCATGCAGATGCGGAATATTAATTCTCCCGCGAGTCTTTCCTTTGGTGTGTCTTTTGGCATGTGCAAAGGGTAACTGGCACGCACAAAATTCATCTCCTTGTCGTCGCCCACGTGCAGCCGTTCACTTTTCAAATAAATAAGGCCTCAACTTTCGAAGTCCGAAAAGCGCTTCTAACAGCTGAAAGAGATAGCGAATCTGTCACGCGCGTTGCCGTTCCGCACAACTTTGCCACATCACTCCACTTCTTAACTTGTCGCGCTGTTTCTTCTTTTTGTCTTGTTGCTGTTGTTGTTTTTGTTCTGTTCCTCATGCAGGTTAGCCTGCCTACCGTGATATCTTTTAGCGCAAGATTACTGCTTTGGAAAAGGTTAGAAGCTACTTGTCTGCGTGGGGAGTTTTCTAATTTTTCAAGCGACATCTACTATAGAACTTTTTCCGCAGTACACCCGAGAGCTGTTAACGAACGGACTCGAGTCTAAACTAGGACTACTACCGCGATTCGGGAACTGTTGTTGTGACTTCTACGCGCTAGTGGTTGAAAAAGCAAGCTTACACTTACCCATAATCTGTTCACATGCTGGCTTTAAAAATATCCAGTGCCCCCTGCCCTACCATAGTGCGATCGGTTTCGATTTACGAAAGACCGAGAGCACCTCATTCCCATGAAGCTCATCTCCAATTTGAAGCAAACGTAGCGAGCTTGTCCGGTTGCGTTTCCGATTTTCGTGATAAATGTCTTCCACACGGGTGCCCGAGAGACCGAGATTTACATTTTTCAAACACAGTCGCCCGAGGTACATTGGACTTGCATCTGAAAAACTACTCCGCCGGCACTCTGCTAATTCTTTTAGTAGATCATGGTAGTTCATCGGTCGTGTGTCTAGGTTTCATAGTAAAATCTTACACGTAGAGCTAAAGAGACCATAGTAATGCCAATGCTGTTTTTAAGTTTTTGCATGGTAGTTCTTGTAGCCGCCCGCAGGTCAGACGCTATCTTTTTAGATTTTTGAGATATGTCGATCTACTAGTATCTTTTGCGACTAAATTTTTCACAACTGCATTGATTGCTGCGTCATGTCTGTAACACCATTTCCCCCGCACTTTCCATCCCTCCACCATAATCCCTTTCCAGCATAATAATAAATGCAGAGTAGAACATCAGCAATCTGGCTTCATTATGAACTGCAAAAGTATCGTATTCGTATAAATGCATGACAAATTCCCTCAGCATGAGAAATGAAATTTGTAATGCTGTTTTACCTTCAGAAAAGAATTTGTAATGCATGATTGCAATACGAGTACGATACTTTTGCACAGGATATTCATCATCTGGCAACCCCGCGTGGGAGGAGTGTGCAAGAAAAAAGCTGTGTAGGTGTAAATCTGTCATGCCGAACTACAAGCAACAGAGTTCTTGTTACACCTGTCACGCCAGGCAGCCACGAAGCCCTCTCTTCGTGTGTGTTTTGGTTTTCCCTTACACGGCACGCATGACAGGTTTATTTCTTCTCTTATAAATTCGTAAATGAAATTTTACACGTAGTTCTAGTGAAAGAAAGACAAATTTTAGAACGTACTTACTATAGTTAGAAGCACACTCATAGTTAGAAGTTCATTTTTTTCCGATGTAGTTGGCCCCTGTAGGTCGCGTAGTCCAAATCTAATGTTTATGGAAGCGTCAGGATTGAAATCGTCAAAGTTGAAATAGTTTGTAATGCATAAAATGCAACCCACAAAATGCCTGTCTTGCAGAGTAGGCAAAGGAGGCAGATTTTAAGCCTGTTGAGGAGTAGGAGTAGAGCTGCTAAAGTAGCATGACAAAAGGCGTCTTCCTTACGCTTACCCGAACAGCATTACAAACAGGATCTCGGCTCTACCCAAATCTGTCACGCGTCACTTGAAAACTAGCCGCCATCTGGTATCCATTTTATGCATTACAAATTATTTCAACTTTGTCGATTTCAATCCTGACACTCCCATAATATTGCCAGTAGGTACTCCTGCACTCGCTGACTCCGAAGCGTGGCAAGGTCACCGGCGCGCGTGCGACTTAACATGAGTCGCCGGGCGGGGCGAGTTTTTGTAGTCGGTACGATCTTCAAAATCATCAAAATTTGAAATATAGTCCTGAGGCTGAGCTGCAGTACAAAACAATCTTCATCCAGGCCTTGTAGAAGATACAGCTGCCTCAACGTTCGTTGTAGATCTTCTTGTTGTACGCAAAAGTAGAGGGGCGGCTAAGGCTGGCCCCCCTGATCAATCATCATTCTCCAGAAAGCGCTGCTGAATGTTGAAAAACAGGAATTGTCAATCCTTGAGTCCTCTCGACGCGCTCTGGAAGACCGCTGATTTTTCGACACTTCATACATCCAACGGATACATTTTACCTAAGAAAGGGGAATATACCCTCGACGCGTGCCATCGGGCATTAGCCGGTAGCCTTTGGAATCGATTGGGTCGCGTCCGTAGGCTCTGCCTTTTTGCATGAGATCCCGCTGCTTTTCCGTCAAGTGCTCCGCCGGGATAAAATTCAGAGCGCCTTCCAGCATGTCCTCGAATATTAAGGCCAAGAAATCGGGCATGCCGGGGCCGAAAACGCCTTGCTTTATTTTTGCTTCCTCTTCTAGCATCCACGCTTCCCAAGCGACCAAACTTTGGCGGAAGGACGACGCATCTCGGAACATCTGACACAAACGCAGACGAGGACCCTCGCCCCGCACCCGCTGCCCGAGTTTTTTCCCCCATTCGGCAAGTGGCTGATTGAAGGCTTCCGCGTCCTTGAACATTTTACCCATGTCCTCCACGCGGCGTATGACAGCCTCAGAATGGAAATCCTCAAAGTGGAAATAATTTGAAATGCAAAAAAACGACTCCAGTTGAAGCGCCATTTCTAGTCGGCGCATGACAAATTTTCCGGGCACTCAAAGCATGTCTGTCATGCTAGGTAGGCAAAGGGGTGCCCTTCTCTCGTGCTAATCAGCAGCCCAATCCTGAACCCCTAGCAGGACAATAGTCGGTCTCCATTGTGTCCTCTGCAATACAGTCTCTTTGCCTTGCATTTCATGCGTCACAAATTATTTCCACTTTGAGGATTTCCATTCTGAGGCTTTCACACGGCGAACGTCCCACGTGCTAAGATCCTGGTTGAAGCGGACGGCGCCCTCGAACATGCCGTGCATATACGTCACCCTGCCAACGTTCCACCGGCTGAGATCCTGGTCGAACGATGCAGCACGCTTAAACATCGCGGACAATCTGTATGGCATTCTCAAACGTTTTTACTATATGACTCGTCGCGACCACGAACAAGATGACCACTTAGGATTTTGATGCAAGAGCACCAGTAATGAAAGAAAAGGCCAAGAAGTGCGTGGGCGGGGGAACGAGGCTCCCTGCCCCTTTGTTTCCTATTCCTCCTCGCTTCTTGCATACCATATACAGACTTGGCACGAAAGATCGTCCACCCAATTATGCTAATACTTAGCACGTCAAGGAGTTTCTGTTGCTGCATCAGCATCGCGCAAATTATGAGGGTGAACTGAAAGTGCTCCTTCATTTACATGACAAAGGATCGACAAACAGCGACCAATGTAAAAATCACGCAGTGGAGCATGCCATACGTCAGTCACATCCCGGACATCCCACGCACTAATGTCTTGGTTGAAGAGGGGGGCATCCATGAAGAGTCGTCGCATGCTTGTCACGCCCCGTGTGTCCCAGAGCGACATTTGGAACGTATCATGATACCCAAAACGCGCAAAATTAAAAATGCCGTCTAAGTTGTTGACTCGGCAAACATTCCACTCGTTTACGTCGCCGTACTCGTCAACGATCTGTCGGCGCGCCTCAGCCCTCTGTTGATTGTTGAAGTCAACACGACGATCATCCCGCCACAGATCAATCGCTAGCGCGAGTGTCTGCCGATCGGGGAAAGGCTTGTTTTTCCCCTTCACAATGACGACCTGGAGTGTGTGGGGTTGTGGTTTGCTGCTCGTAGTTCCTCGTCCACCATTCCGACGCGCAATATCCTCTCGCAACACGTCTGCTAAGAAACGCCGCGCCCCTTGTTCCTCACGCGGCACGGGAGTTGTTGCGGCGCCATTTGCCAGGAGGATATCCACCTTTCCGCAAGGGAGTATTTCGCGCGGCAACTGTGTCTCGACGTGGCGGTAAAGGTCTGCTGGCGTCCATTGTAACCACTGCTCCGGCTTGACGACCTCAGGCAAGTTGGGCAGCGGTTTGTCAAATGTAAAAATGTCTGGGTCTGGAATGATGCTGGATTTGGATTCCAGAAAAATCTGTATTGCATGAGTACCAAAAGGAATGCAATTTTTGCTCCGCGTGTGTGTGTGTTGACCTTTAACTCCTGTCTGGGCGGCGTTAGAACAGATTTAGCCTCTGCCGATACCGTGGCGCTAGAACAGATTTAGCCTCTGCCAATGCCCCTAGGTGGACACCCGTTCCACGTCCTACAGGTACCACCCGACCGCATCCGCCGAACCGTTTCCGATTTCTTACGCGTGCATACGGCCAGCGGGCGCTGGATGTGGCTGACCTGCTTTACCATCCAAGCCCGCGAGCAAGGTGGAGCTCCAGCGTTGCCTTGCTGGGTTATTCTTACAAACGTCGAACGCTACTGCTTTTGTGGTCGGTCGCGCGCTAGAATAAACTGGGGGACTATTGGCCACACACGTTGACCCTATCACGATGACGGACAACCCCAAAGCATGCCCCTTCCAAGCACCTTCCCGACCTATTTCCGCGCACCCTTTTTATGCGCATAGATAGAGCCGGGCCTTGGAGCTCCGCGTTAGCAGAGCCGCCACCGCGCCCGCCCCGGGGGGCCCCTTGGGGAAGGGGGGTGCTGCCTTAGCGCAGTCTTTAAAATAACAACCCTGCCACTCTACTAATAAATCTCCTGGCATGCAAACTCCCAGACGCTTGCAGTTCAGGTTCTTGTGTTTTTTGTCCTTCAACCCATGCCCCCACCCATCTTTCCTTTTTTCTTTTTTGCCCCACCCAAGTCTTCTTCTTTTTTCTTCTATTACTTTCCCCCCCCCGTCTTCTTTTCCACTTTTCGGTCGCTCCATTTTTGTGTATGTCTCTTCGTTCATTTGCCCACTTTAGGGGCCCTACGCAAAAGGATCTCCGGCCAGCCAGAAAAAAAGGGGCTGCCGCGCAAAACACAAGGAAAACCAGCCAAAAAAGGGGCTGTCGCGCAAAACAAAGGCGACGCAGTATGAAAGTATGTACGGGGCGGCATCTAAAGTCTACAAGGGTAGTAAAGCTAGCGCTAGTAAAAAAAAACATGAAGATTTTTTATCGAGGTTTTCTCCTCACGCTAGTAAACATTTATAAGGATCTCGCGCCCCTACCAAGGTCTAACTACTGTGATCATTGAAGTGTGTGTGTGTGTGTGGAGCGCGCGCAGATCTAGAAGGACGCATGAGGAGAGGATCTAGGACACATGCATATCCCACCAAAAAAATCGATCATACTCATACAGGGCCGCAAAAAGCCCAAAAATCGCTATTTTTTCAATTTTTTATTTTCAAAAATTTTTCGCGGTGTCCGGCAGACCCGGGCAGCCGCTTCTGTTTTGGTGCTCTTATGACGTAAATATTGCGCGGCCTATCTTCTTTGGCTGCTTGGAGTAGTTTCGCTACTTCAGCAACTAAGAGGCGGCAGCAGGCCGAGTAGCTATGAGGAGGCGGATGCTACTCCAATAGGGCCGTCAGACAAACCACAAAGAAGATGGCGCAACTACTGGAGACCAATACCATTGCGCGGCCCTGTCCCATTGATTTCGTTGGCGTTATGGCCATGGGCCTGCATTTCTGGGCACATGCCGAGGAGCCCGATACCCCGCCTTGGCCTTACTTACCACCAGCTCCTCGTCGGGATTTTAACTGCTTTGCCCCCCCCCAGACCGGCAACGCCGTCCAATCTGGAGAGACTGCTCGCGCACTTTCTGGCCCCAGATGAGCTAAGGCAAAGTGGGCACATGATTGGCCTCGAAAAGACGGCCATTGCATGCGGATCAAAAAAATCGATCATATCACTTTCGGGCGCCGGAGACCTCTTCCGGGCCGCCCCATCAGCGGAGTCGATTTGCTGAACTTCCACAGCTGAATTTGGCAAGATTTTCGCACTTTTTCGAAGTTCGAAAAAATGCCGATTTTCGATATGATCGATCGGCCTCAAAAAATGGCCGTTAGCTCGGTCCCAAAAAAATAGATCATACATTTTTGCGAGTATGATTAATGCCATTTTTTCACTTTTTTCAAATTTTCTAAAAGAAAATGGCAGCTTTTGGCATATGATCAATTTTTTTGGGCCGCTGCTATGGTGAAAAATTTGCAAATTTACAGTTTTTGAAAAAACGCCAATCGCGGTGCTACGGCGCAGGTCAGCAAATATGATCGATTCCGGACTCAGCTCGTGCTAAAAAAAATTGATCATACCGCAAAAGCTGTCAGCTTTTGCCGATTTTGCCACGTTTTGTTGGCCGTTTTTCCACGTTCTCCGCACTGAAAATTGCTGTTTGAGATGGCCTTTTTTGGTCCCGTCCCTGGTCGATCGCTCTGGCGGCGATCCTGTGGAGGCGTGCCAGAGGATGCCACCGGAGGTCTGCCCAAGAACCCCAGAACGCCTCAAAATAGAAGGCCCAGCCCTTAGGCTTTTGCGCGGCCCCCAGCACAACCCATGCATGTTTGTCGCAGCACCGTCTCAGCGGGGCTAGAGCTGGCATCCTGAAGGCCATTCCTTTCCTCCTGGGCCGAGCATGTGCCAGGCTGCGTGGATCCTTTGCCTCCATCCATGTGACAGGCTTGGGAGCGGGAGTTATGAGAGACAAGCGCCCGACGGCGGGGCCGGTAGGTGAGGAGGGGCTTGGACCGGTAAGAGGGGGCCGGCAAGAGGCCGAAGAGCAGAGCCAGGACAATTGTCGCGGGCGACATATCCGCGCCAGTCGCCTCCTCGTAGCTAGTTGAACTACTACAGGCAGCCAGTCCAGAGCTCAGCAACGTTGCCGCCCAAGCAGAATGCTCCAGGCCTTACCTCCAAGCCATGCAAATTTTCCGCCGAAAAAGAAAAATCGCTGCCGAAATACAGGATTTTTGTTAAAAAAGCGCAGGCTTTTTTCAAAAAAGTAGCATTTTTTGTGTCTTGAATTCGGCCAAATATGAGTATGATCGATTTTTTTAGTGCGATAATGCACATGGTCGGAACACAAATAGTACATTTGTCATGCGGAATAGGCATCAAGAAGCTCTCAAAAAATCTGCGATGCTAGGGCATGCATCACAGACATCAGGGCTCATGCAAAACGTGCATGACAACTGTCAGAATCTTCCAGACCCAGACATTTTTGCATTTGATACGGTTCACCGGCAAGCGACACGAACTGCAGCGGCATATCAAACACCCATCGAAGATGACGGAGACCCTCAGGGGCTCCCAGGGCGCTCGCGGCGCGCGGCCCTGGGCCCGAGGAGGGGTCTACTTCTCGGTCCGCCGGGCCCCCAGCTCTGGTCCCGCTGGCTGGTGAGCGGGAGCGCGGCCGCAGATGACGCCCCCGCACGCCCCCACGTCCCGCCAATGGAGGTCCTGCGGCATCTGCAAACACAATGCAGGAGTAGAGAGAGCAAACACTCCCGAGATGAACAAATAGAGACGATCGATTTGCTGCAAGCATGTTGGCTGTGGTGTATCTTTAGGAGTTGTTCCTTCAAAACTTTTTCCGGCGGTGAGTCGTGTATAAAACGTGCTGTGGGTAAACTACGTTCTACTACAAGAATACAATTACTGTGTAAAAAATAAATGGGTGTAGATGTCGAAGTTGGTGCTGGAGGCCGCGTTCTTTCCGGATGCAACGTGCTGATTTCAAGTTGTACTCGTGCCGAGGCTCGCGAGCGAGAGAGTAAAAAACTGAATCAGGTTGCAGAGGTACTACTAGGAGCGCGCGCAGCTTCTATGGATGCAACAAGTTTAAACGCGCAACAAACTACTCCCTCCAATAGATATAGTTGTGTCGACAGATAATGTTGTGTATGTGTTTCAGTAAGCGATGCGGCTACTCTAATAAGCTAAAAAAAAGCGTTTTCGTTTTAAGTAGTTTGAAGAAGGTTCTGATAGGTACCAACAAGAGGCACAAAACAACTGCTTCAGATTTATTGGCATGTTGAAAGAGGTGTTGTGGGTGTTGAAAACGGCCCCGGTAAAAGTAGACCGTCCTCCGGGTAGGCGTACCACAGAAATGAGACGTGGCAGATGGATCAAAAATGGCTTATATTTGCATAATTTTCGGATCTTCGACGGTGGATCTTCTTGACGAGAGAACTACTTTTCTACTACTTGTCTGATCATCTTCCTGTCTGATCCACATTATAGAAATTTTCAATTTCTTTGCAGCGGATCTTTCTGCGTGGTCGCGATCTCTCGAACGAATTTTTTGGACCGAAGGAGGAGATAACCTTCTTTCTACTCGTCCGAGTTGGGTACTTAATACTGCTCCTTGGTGGAGCTCGTCTGTCTAGTACCGAAGGTCTACTAGTTGCACAACAACACGGACCCAGAAAAAGATCTCATTTTTCATTCTTCATCTTCACCGGGGCTGGATCATGTCCAACGACCATGCAGAAATAAGAAACTACCGGGCCGAGCCTCAAACTCCTGGCTCTAACTACAAAACTTCATCAATTTGGTTGCATTAGGAGTAAGTGCTGCGGTGGTCGTGACCACACTACTTCTCTGGCAGCTGCGCGACTTCTGTTGCGGCTTCAGGAGTAGAGACATCTGTCTGTGGAGCAAAAAGCTCGGCGCCAACGATCCTCCCGGGACGGGCGTCACTGCGACTAGAGCGCAAATCTGTCGCCGTGCGAGACAGTCTAAAGCACCACGATTGTGGTTGTGGAGTTGTCGACTCTACGATTTGAGCAGCATTCTACCTAGCTCCGTTCTGTATGTATCTATCCTTTTTTTACACTTGTTCATATCCCGTTTCTATCCGCACATCAAACCAAAATATGAATCGTTCGTCCCCGTCTTTTTCAACATTTCCCCGATCTACTTTTTCTCTTCCTGTCAGCTCTTGTTCGTGTTCAATCTCAATGCGAATGCAGTAGGGATACTGGTAAATAAGTTTAAGCGTGCGTGGTCGTGATTCTGTTGCTTCTTCCGTTCCCAGGAGGCGGCTGCTCGCATTACATCTAAGCCTAGCAACAAGCCAGCTTTTGTCGCTCGTGGGTACATCAAAACGAAACCAAGCCGGGCTGTTGTACAAGACGATGAAACCACATCCGCAACATGCAGGACACAACTTAACCTTCGCGATTTTCAGCACATTTGAAGTCGCTCACACACTCGAGAAGGAGGGTCGGTCCTGCTTGTTCAAAGTTGCATTGGAGCTGCAACTCCGCCTCCCCTCACGACAGTCAAAGTATTGTGACGTAACACGATAATTATTGCAACGTAACACTTTTGCACACGACATTGCAGGTTATTGTCTCTACTTTGCGCCCGAGGTTCTTTTGAAAAATTTTCCTCTCGTTGATGGACAATTTTGTCTCCATCTCTCAACTACATGATCTCTCTACTTTCGATCATCTGCTTCGCCCAACACTAATAGCGCAAGAACTTTTTATCAATGAGAACAGCACAGCACGACCTCCTCTTATGTAATACAGCTACGACTTTCTGAGAACAGGAGAAGAAAACTGCACTGGATTTCCATGCGGAATATTAATTCTCCCGCGAGTCTTTCCTTTGGTGTGTCTTCTGGCATGTGCAAAGGGTAAATGGCACGCACAAAATTCATCTCCTTGTCGTCGCCCACGTGCAGCCGTTCACTTTTCAACTAAATAAGGCCTCAACTTTCGAAGTCCGAAAAGCACTAACAGCTGAAAGAGATAGCGAATCTGTCACGCGCGTTGCCGTTCCGCACAACTTTGCCGCATCACTCCACTTCTTAACTTGTCACGCTGTTTCTTCTTTTTGTCTAGTTGCACAACAACACGGACCCAGAAAAAGATCTCATTTTTCATTCTTCATCTTCACCGGGGCTGGATCATGTCCAACGACCATGCAGAAATAAGAAACTACCGGGCCGAGCCTCAAACTCCTGGCTCTAACTACAAAACTTCATCAATTTGGTTGCATTAGGAGTAAGTGCTGCGGTGGTCGTGACCACACTACTTCTCTGGCAGCTGCGCGACTTCTGTTGCGGCTTCAGGAGTAGAGACATCTGTCTGTGGAGCAAAAAGCTCGGCGCCAACGATCCTCCCGGGACGGGCGTCACTGCGACTAGAGCGCAAATCTGTCGCCGTGCGAGACAGTCTAAAGCACCACGATTGTGGTTGTGGAGTTGTCGACTCTACGATTTGAGCAGCATTCTACCTAGCTCCGTTCTGTATGTATCTATCCTTTTTTTACACTTGTTCATATCCCGTTTCTATCCGCACATCAAACCAAAATATGAATCGTTCGTCCCCGTCTTTTTCAACATTTCCCCGATCTACTTTTTCTCTTCCTGTCAGCTCTTGTTCGTGTTCAATCTCAATGCGAATGCAGTAGGGATACTGGTAAATAAGTTTAAGCGTGCGTGGTCGTGATTCTGTTGCTTCTTCCGTTCCCAGGAGGCGGCTGCTCGCATTACATCTAAGCCTAGCAACAAGCCAGCTTTTGTCGCTCGTGGGTACATCAAAACGAAACCAAGCCGGGCTGTTGTACAAGACGATGAAACCACATCCGCAACATGCAGGACACAACTTAACCTTCGCGATTTTCAGCACATTTGAAGTCGCTCACACACTCGAGAAGGAGGGTCGGTCCTGCTTGTTCAAAGTTGCATTGGAGCTGCAACTCCGCCTCCCCTCACGACAGTCAAAGTATTGTGACGTAACACGATAATTATTGCAACGTAACACTTTTGCACACGACATTGCAGGTTATTGTCTCTACTTTGCGCCCGAGGTTCTTTTGAAAAATTTTCCTCTCGTTGATGGACAATTTTGTCTCCATCTCTCAACTACATGATCTCTCTACTTTCGATCATCTGCTTCGCCCAACACTAATAGCGCAAGAACTTTTTATCAATGAGAACAGCACAGCACGACCTCCTCTTATGTAATACAGCTACGACTTTCTGAGAACAGGAGAAGAAAACTGCACTGGATTTCCATGCGGAATATTAATTCTCCCGCGAGTCTTTCCTTTGGTGTGTCTTCTGGCATGTGCAAAGGGTAAATGGCACGCACAAAATTCATCTCCTTGTCGTCGCCCACGTGCAGCCGTTCACTTTTCAACTAAATAAGGCCTCAACTTTCGAAGTCCGAAAAGCACTAACAGCTGAAAGAGATAGCGAATCTGTCACGCGCGTTGCCGTTCCGCACAACTTTGCCGCATCACTCCACTTCTTAACTTGTCACGCTGTTTCTTCTTTTTGTCTAGTTGCACAACAACACGGACCCAGAAAAAGATCTCATTTTTCATTCTTCATCTTCACCGGGGCTGGATCATGTCCAACGACCATGCAGAAATAAGAAACTACCGGGCCGAGCCTCAAACTCCTGGCTCTAACTACAAAACTTCATCAATTTGGTTGCATTAGGAGTAAGTGCTGCGGTGGTCGTGACCACACTACTTCTCTGGCAGCTGCGCGACTTCTGTTGCGGCTTCAGGAGTAGAGACATCTGTCTGTGGAGCAAAAAGCTCGGCGCCAACGATCCTCCCGGGACGGGCGTCACTGCGACTAGAGCGCAAATCTGTCGCCGTGCGAGACAGTCTAAAGCACCACGATTGTGGTTGTGGAGTTGTCGACTCTACGATTTGAGCAGCATTCTACCTAGCTCCGTTCTGTATGTATCTATCCTTTTTTTACACTTGTTCATATCCCGTTTCTATCCGCACATCAAACCAAAATATGAATCGTTCGTCCCCGTCTTTTTCAACATTTCCCCGATCTACTTTTTCTCTTCCTGTCAGCTCTTGTTCGTGTTCAATCTCAATGCGAATGCAGTAGGGATACTGGTAAATAAGTTTAAGCGTGCGTGGTCGTGATTCTGTTGCTTCTTCCGTTCCCAGGAGGCGGCTGCTCGCATTACATCTAAGCCTAGCAACAAGCCAGCTTTTGTCGCTCGTGGGTACATCAAAACGAAACCAAGCCGGGCTGTTGTACAAGACGATGAAACCACATCCGCAACATGCAGGACACAACTTAACCTTCGCGATTTTCAGCACATTTGAAGTCGCTCACACACTCGAGAAGGAGGGTCGGTCCTGCTTGTTCAAAGTTGCATTGGAGCTGCAACTCCGCCTCCCCTCACGACAGTCAAAGTATTGTGACGTAACACGATAATTATTGCAACGTAACACTTTTGCACACGACATTGCAGGTTATTGTCTCTACTTTGCGCCCGAGGTTCTTTTGAAAAATTTTCCTCTCGTTGATGGACAATTTTGTCTCCATCTCTCAACTACATGATCTCTCTACTTTCGATCATCTGCTTCGCCCAACACTAATAGCGCAAGAACTTTTTATCAATGAGAACAGCACAGCACGACCTCCTCTTATGTAATACAGCTACGACTTTCTGAGAACAGGAGAAGAAAACTGCACTGGATTTCCATGCGGAATATTAATTCTCCCGCGAGTCTTTCCTTTGGTGTGTCTNGCCGGGGAGCTACAAAACGCGCGCGGAAAGCTACTCTTTTTCTCCTCTTCTTCTAGGGCAGGGCAGTGGACTGCTGGTTTTAGAAGAGAAAAACTTTAGCGACGTATACGACCACGCAGGGCTTCGCGAGCCGGTGCTCGCGCCCATGTCCCGGGCCATCAGTTCGCGGGAAAGACGGTTGGGGCTGGGGTTGACAATGCTCGTTTCCTCTTGTGCCAAGTCCTCCGCGCATCCGCGAGGAGGCAGCCCACTTAAATTTCAACTGGCTAGAAGCTAGTCAACATCGCGCTAAATACAACAGTAGATAGTTTTTGAGGTCGGTTTTCGTAGCTAGTCGAGGTTTTTAAAATTTCTTTGATTTGTGCAGCTGAGCCTCTTAGACCCACACTTCCGTGCTGCCCGTGCCAGGGCTAGAATTCAGAGCGCCTTCCAGCATGTCCACGAATATGCCGGCGACGACATGGTGCAAGTCGCCGAAAGCGCCTTGCCTTATTTTTGCATCCTGTTCTAGCATCCGCGCTTCCCAAGTGACCAAACTTTGGCGGAAGGACGACGCACCTTGGAACATCCCACTGAAATTCAGAGGCTCGTCGCCCTGCACCCGCTGTCCGATTTTTTTCCCCCATTCTATCAAATTTAAAACTGTCTGGGTCTGGAAGAGGAGAAGTTTGTCATGCACATTTTCAATGATCCATGATGTCTGTGATGTAAGCCATAGCTGCATCACAGATTTTTTGAGCGCCTATCTATGCGCATCCAGCATGACAAATGCCCTCTCCGCGTAGCCAAATTGGAATTCTCTTGCGGGTCATGCAATACAGGTTCTTTTAGCATCCAAATGCAGCATCACAAGTTTGGCTCTTCCAGACCCAGACATTTTTGCATTTGATACATTCGGCAAGTGGCTGACTGAAGGCCCTCGCGCCAGCGAACATTTCACCCATGTTCCCTACGCGGCGTATGAAGGCCTCAGAATGGAAATCCTCAAAGTGGAAATAATTTGTGATGATGAAATGCGAGGCAAAAAAAAACTGTATTGCAAAGGACGCAATGTGAGTTATTAGAGTTCTTAGACCCACACTTCCGTGCTGCCCGTGCCAGAGCCAGCAGCAGCCTCGCCGACAGAGTGGGTCTACCCGAAAATCTACATCCCCAACACTAGTAGCCCCGAAGACAAGCAAAGTGCACCCCGCCGGCGAACTGTAAACGTATGAGCCTGGGCGTCTGTAACCGTACGAACCTGCCTAAAAACCTGACTACGTCAATTTATTTGCATGTAATCCCGCCGGATAAATCGAGGAGGGTCTCCACCAGGACCCGGAGCCAGCCTACTACCAGCCTATCATACCCGTAGGTAAGGGTCCTCCAGCAGAACCCGTGCCCCAGGATGCACCCGAGACAGCTCGCGTCCTGCCGAACCACACAAGAGAAACCCCCAAACGAAAGTCCTACACCCTTCTAGCCATACCTATTGGACCGGGAGGATGTCCCCTACAGCGGCAATTTCTCCCAACAAATTTCAACCCCATTTCGCCACCAGGAGCTGAGGAGGAAGACTGCGCTACGCGCGTCCTGCTAACCACAATACCGGGGAGCAACAAAAACCAACCAGGGCCAACGCGACGTAGCCCACTGCCATGGCTAGCAAGAAAGTAGCCGGAAGGAAACTAGGGCGCAACTGGACTGCCTTTAAACGAAGGCAACCGCGACAGATCACAAAAGCCTAAGCCACAAGAAAAGGGAAAGCTAGCCGGCCTATGTCACCACAGCATGCTTAGGCCCCCAGGAACAGGGAAAAACCTGTACGCCGTGCATACACCCTGAGATACCAAAACTGGAGACAGCGCCACTGTCTGCCCAAAGCAAACGACCACTGCCACGAAAAGACTTCGCGGGCACCGGTAGGGGCCTCGATAACATCCTAGCCCTACTGATAGAAGCCGGCTCCCCATAAAAGACAGAACGAGGCCTGCGCAAACCTTCTCCTGATGGAAGATACAAAGCCTTCTCCTGATGGAAGATACAAAAGTCAACCTAGACTGGGTCCAGCCAATCGAAAGAAAAACCATGGCACGACCCCCGCCTTGAATGCGGGTCCAGTCGTGCCGCCTTGCATTAGCTTACCAGGGATCTGCTAGCCCTTTCCATAGAACTCTCGTCCTTTCCGTCACTTACTCGAAAATGATGCACCGAGGTGCATCCGTATTTAGAGTTCTTAGACCCACACTTCCGTGCTGCCCGTGCCAGGGCTAGTAGAATCCTGAATCGGGATTCGGCGAACGTTAACATTGCAAACATACAGCCTCGAAGTTGTGCTGACCCGTGAATAGGGACACAGGAGCGCAAGGGCAAATGAGTACTCCCTGAGTCGCGGACTCCCTGAGCCTGCCGGGAAAAAAAACCGCTTAACATGACCTTTGCATGGCCAAAGGTCGTGTTAAGTAGATTCAGTATCCCCGTCACCCAGGCCGACGTTGTGTCCAGGAATGGACCCTGTGCCACTCCGTTAACCAGACCTATGGGCACCCAGAGGTCGTGTTTATCGCGAGCTGTTTTTGGATTTTTGGCTGCAGACCCAAAAATCCAAAAACAGCTCGCGATAAACAGAACCTCTGGGTATCCCGAGGTCTGGTTAACGAAGTGTCTGGGGCCTCACTCTGTGACAAAACGTCGGCGCCGAGGGGCGCACCAGCGGACGCCCGGGCGCGTCCGCCTGCTCTACGAAGCCTGTGCGCTGAAATGGCTGCGTTTCAGACTTGTCACCTGGGGCAGGCAAGTTAGGTAAGCCAGGCCCGCGGCGACGAGCAGCGTAACAGGTTTGCTGCATTTGGACAAAGCGAAGCAAGGCACGTTTGCCAAATTTGCAAAGTAGTTCTGCTCCAAGATTTTGAAACACGGGCGGCGGGCCTTGATGCACGAGTACGAGAGTCATGGGCTTTTGGAATTCACAGGGATTACCGGCTTTGCCGCTAATTGAGCGTTTTAGAGTAGAGTTCTTAGACCCACACTTCCGTGCTGCCCGTGCCAGGGCTAGTAGCAGCCTCGCCGACAGAGTGGGTCTGCTCCCTCGGTGACGACGACGAGTCCACCTTTCGATAATTTTCTATCCAGGATGAAAAAACATCATCCACCCGCATCCATTTTTTGCATGACAAACAATGGATCTTATGCATGTTTTGCATGACAAATTGGATGGGGATGGGTGCCTTTATTTCCTGGATATCTTCATCCGTCGCAGAAGTAGAACTCGAGGACTTCGCCGTCGCCAAGCCCACCGCCTTCTTCCCGTAGTCGAATGTCACGTATGCAATACAAATACTTCTCGCACATGTACAAAGTGCATGACAAATTTTCCCAACTTAGAAGAAGCAACTTCTTGTCACGCTGCGGATAGAGGTTTCAAGGAAAATTTTGAAATTCAGATGAAACCGCACATATTGTACGTGTCCGAGAAATTATTTCCTGCGGATATCACGTAGTACTTGCGCATGAACGTGTCGCCCAAAATCCACAGCGGGCCGCTCGGCACGTCGATGGGCAGAATTGCGAACAGGCACTGGCCCATCACCATGGGAATTTTCACATCGTTGCCGTCGAGTGTGAAATCATGCCCGTTCAGGCTGAAATATGCATTGCAAATAAGTATGTCGTCCTCTCCTGCTGGGTCTGAATTTCAAACCCTACCTGCAATGCGAGTATCATCAGCAAGAGAAATAATTTTCAGAAAATACTCGCATAATTGCAGAGTGGCCGCTTTTGCTGCCAGCGTCAGAGATGAACAGCAGCAGAAGTCTGCTGAGCAGTCTTTTTGCTGATTCATTCGTATTAAAACGCATCACAAACTGCCACCAGGCATGACAAACAAAACTTCCCAGTTGTCGTCGTCGTGTTTATGCATTACAGATCTTGTTGTCCTTGAGGTCTTGCATTACAAATTTGCAATGCATATGAAAGTGAAGGTCCCTATGGGAGCGTCAGGATCGAAATCGACAAAATCGAAAAAAAATTCTGGCTGTACTTGGCGGGGGCCTTCAGGGCACCCCCTCCGGGACCCGTTTCGATTCTGACACACTCAAGCATACCGTCGCGGCTAGCGGGAAAAGGTCCGAGTGTGTCAGAATCGAAATGCGAAATCCCGGCACCCCTCCAGGGGGCCCCTGGGTTTTTTTTCGATTTTGCGAATTTCGATCCTGACGCCTCCATAGTCCCAATGTCCTTGTCGCAAGGAATCAACATCTTCCCGAAGATATCCTCTGCGAAAGTATCGCACTGGTACAGTATAAATGCAAGTCTTGCATTACAAATCTTGTTCCCAAAGCAAATCAGCATGACAAATTCCATTTCTCGTACTGAGCAATTTTGGAAAAATGCAATCCTTTGCTACTAGTAGTAGTGCGATATTACTTTTGCAATTCATAAAAAATGTTCACCGCACCTACCTTGGACGCCAGGGCGTTGACCTGGAGTCAGCAGAAGTTTGGTCTTTACATTGCAGGGCCAAAGATAAAGAAGCATCAAGTACTTAATTAATATTATATAAGACAAAGACGAAGCGGGGGCGGTCGCGGTCAAACGCGGGTCGGGTAAACGCGGAGGAGGCGGTCAAACGCGGGGCGCCCAAACGCGGCCGCGCCCCGGCAAAATCGCGGTCGTACCCCGGCAGAAGCGTGGTCGTGCCCGCAAAAAAACGCCGGGCGCCCACCCAAAACGCGGGGGCGGTCCCCAGAGGGGCGCCTCGCGGTCGCGCTAATCCCGCCGCAGTCGCGGTTTTGCAATCTTGGCCAAGGCCGGTCGAGGCGGGGGCGCGGCGCGTTTGGCCTCGATTTGGGGGGGCGCGGCCGCGATTTCGGCGGCGCGTTTGACCGCGATCGACCGCCAAGACAAGGGCGGAATCGCGGGGCGGTCGAAGGCGTCGCGCTTTTTCCCGGGGCGGTCGGGGGCGCCGCGGTCCACCGCGGTGCGGTTAAAGGCGCCGCAGCCCACCGCGGTGCGGCCAAAGGCGCCGCGGTCCATCGATCCCGGTGCGGCCAAAGGCGCCGCGGTCCATCCCGGCGCGGCCAAAGGCGCCGCGGTCCGCCCCGGTGCGGCCACCGGCGCGCGCCGCGGCCCGGCCCGGCGCGCCACGGACGGTCAAAGGCGCCCCGGCCAGACAAGGGGTCGCCTTTTGCGGTGCGGCCGAAAGCGGCGCGCGCGCCCCCCCCCGGGGCGGCCGGGCGGAGGCGCCCCGGCGATGTATGCGCGGGCGGGACCACCGCCATCCGCCGCCCGAAAAGGTGGCGGAGCCAAGTAAACACACATGGCCGCGCGGCCCCGCGGAAGGCTGACGCGCAAAACATGCGTCCCGCTTCCTCCTCTGCTGCCGCCCCCTGCGCGCGCTTTTATTTTTCTAGCCCCGCCGGGGGCGCGCACTTTCTTTCGCCCGTCCCGCATTGCCGCGGCCGGCGCATTCCTCTGCCCGGCCTCTGCCCCCTGCTTTCTAACAACCTTTCCTCCACTGGCACCGCCCCTGCTCCCTTTCTCTCCACTATTCCTCCACTATTCCTCCAATTTCCTCCTGCCCCCTGCTTTCCTCCACTTTCCTCCACTGCCCGCCGAGTCTGGGCCCCCCTCACCCTCCCCTCACCCTCCCCTCACCCTCCCTCCCCTCCCCTCACCCCCCCCTCACCCACCTTGGACGCTAGGGCGTTGACCTAAAGTCAGCAGTAGTTTGGTCTTTCAATTGCAGCAGGGCCGAAGAAGAAGTATCAAGTACTTAAGAAAGCGCAGATTGAAAGTGTCAGTTTCTATATTGAAAGAAAAAACTGTGTTAGTGTAGGTATTTCAAAAAGTGCGATATTTTTTAATAGCGAAAGCTCAAGATTTTTTTCAAAGCAGGTAAGTCCGGTTTTCTTAATGCTGCCTCTGCTGTGGTGCTTGGAATGCAAGTAGCTAACGGTTGCTTCGGTAATAATTGTCTTTAGCTAGTTAAGGAGGCAGGACTCATGTTTCTGCTTCGAAACCCGCCGGACATCGTCGCAGTACTCCTTCAAGTCGGTACCTGGCCCCACCTCATAACAAAAAGCCCTAAATTCGCAGTAGTTGTAGCCTCGTAGCATAAGACCAGGCTGCTTGCGTGAGACACTGCGTCAGAGCGGCGGCTTTGTAGCATATCCGCGTAGAAGCCAGGCAAGGATCAGCACAGTAGTCCTTAGATAGCGCCTACACAAGCTCGACAGGTAGGGCCTTCTGCGATGGCATGATCTCACTCAGAACAGGGATCTTCTTTAGCAGCGAGCAGCGTGGTTCCCAAATTCGAGCCGTTCAGACAATTGCTGCGCATGACAAATCCTGCATTGACTGACAACCTTAGTCCATTTCTACCATGTAGAGCCCTCTTTGCACTGCTTCCAAAATCAAATCCAGGGATTAACTTCTTCGCGCGATTTATCGCGCCCTGCTCTTTGCTTTTCTAGCATTACAGATTTCATCCTACGACTGCGCTATTTTTTCTTATTACTGCTTAAGACTAGACTTAGCCACCTTCTGCACGCGAACCTTCTGACTTTGGTCTTTGTTTCCCGTACCTTTATCAAAATACACCACCACAAAGACACCTCCTTGGCCATGCTTAGCCCGCGCGAGGTTTTTGCTCGTGTGGTAAGCATCGCGCTGGGTGCTTTGTGGGGGCTTTTTCGCCCAATAACACGTCCTCCGACCCTCCTCACCGAAAGCAGCAACGCGATGTCGCGAGCCAACGTAATCCATGCGGCGAAGCTGTCCGGCGATTATTCCGCCTTAAACGCTTCCGAAAAGAAAAAAGAAGCGGCCCGCCTCTGGAAGGCGATGAAGGCCTTGGGTTTGTGCTATCATGCGCCCAAAGATTTGCACCTGATGATGGACGACATCCAGGAGCAGATCGACGAACAGGAAAAACGGCCGGAAGAACAGATTTCCGGCCAGGTGTTTTCGGGGGAGCGCTACAAAAAGTATTTGCTTTTGTGCCCGTTTTTGCATCGGCTGCTGCTTGGCATTTTCTGGCCCCAGCGACAGTGCCTCCGGGGGTGTCATGCAGATAGGAACTTGCATGGTCCGAAGGTGTATGGTTGTCCTAAAGATAAAGGGGCATGGAAAGCAAAGACCGCAGTTTTTTAGCCCAACAGCTGGCCTCGATGCGCTTGTGACTCTTCTACTACTTCTTCCCACAGAAAAAAACTACTTCACCATGCCAATGCTGAGAATTTTTCACAACAGCGGGTGGCTGGACATTGACCTCAAGTACCACCAGAAGTGGATTGCTTTGCTTTTCGGATACGACACGCAGGATATTGAGCGCGTGTTTGTCTCAGCGTCGCAGGCAGTGGCGATTTACAAACTCATGGGCGTGAAGGGATCCCATGTATTCTCTATAATTTGTAATGCGCGCAAGCCTACATATCTTTTTTCATCTTCTGCTGCACCTGAGCACCCTAAAGACGAATCCCGATCATCTCTTCCTCTCCGGTCGTAACCAACTAAAAACAACTTCACACAGCCGCCCAAAGGTGCGGAAAGGGCCCCCAACGAAAGAACGGCAGTTGCGGAACTGCAGAAATGGAAAACGGAGAACCAGAAAGGTTTCAAGAAGGCGCAGGTCGCCGTGACGAAGGCGGTCAAGAGCGCCTTCCAGCCCGACTCGTCCAGTGATTCCGATGACGACAGCGACAAACAGTCCGCCCTCGGCTCCGGAACTGACGACCAGACGACCGATGAGGACGACAACCTGCGCAAGCGCGGCCGCAATAAGAATCGGGGGAAGAAGGACGACAAGAAGTCGACCAAATCTATCAAGGTATAGTCTAGCTGTGTTCCTATTTTTGCAATAGTCCCTGATCTGCCGGTCATCGAGAGCTTGCCCTGTCTATCTCGTTGGTTTCGAAAGCCATCTTGTCTGAAATCCACAAGTAACATCTTCCCCAGGACCGCCAGCCCGTGTTGGCGATCAAAGATGCCCCGCGCAAGTCCAAGCGCCGCGACCCGTCTTCGGAAAAAAAAACCCGCCGTTCCCGCAGTACCCGCCGGAACAAGGAGAAGAAGCGTCAGCGCAAGGGTATGAAGTGCAAACTTTTGTCACTAGTGGCAATCTGTCATGCGGAATTGGCATCAAACCTAGCACGAAAGGCAAGAAATCCGCATTACAGATTGGGGCACTAGTGAAAAAGTTTGCCTTGCATAGCCGAGTCGTCGTCGTCTGAATCCGAGGCCCCTGCCTCCCGCAGCCGCAAAACGAAGACTACTTCCAAGTCCTCCAAAGAACCGATTGGAAAACAGTCCGCGTCTTCCCGCCTCGAGAAAAAGAACGTCGTCTCGGGCAAGAAGAGCACCAAAAAATCTTCGGGCAAGAAGCTGACTTTGCATGTGAAGTCGAAGAAGGACAAGACCCGGAAGCAGTTGTTCAAGAGTAGCAAGGATGTTTTCTCCGACTCCGATGCGGAGGAAGAAGCTGATGCCGACGACCTGGACGCCCTCCGCTCGGAAGATGAGCGTGACCCCTTGAGCGACGAGCTGGATTCCATGATGAACAGCAGCGACGAGGACTTTGTGGACGACGAGGATGCGTCGGAGGAAAGCAGCTCCGAGCAGTATTCGGAGGGCGAATTAAAGCGGCTGGAGAAAATCAAAAAGAAGAAGGAGCAGCAGACGTTGGAATCCCGCTCGAACAAGAACGACAAGAAACCGGCCAAAGAGGATAAGAGCAGCAAAGGCAAGAATGGCAAGGACAAGGGGTCGCCGGATCACAAGAAGCCGGAGGTGAAGATTAACGCTCCGGGTACGGATGACCGCCCGAAACCTAAATCCCGCGTGGTTAACCGCAACAAGTTGCAGGAGGAACTGGAACAGGAGGCCAAGAACAAGAAAAAGGATGCGGGGAAGGCGGGCAAGGGTGAACCGAAGGAAAAAACACCGGGTGGGAAGAATGGAGACAAGCAGAAGCCGACTGGTTCGATTCTGGATACCCCCAGCACCCCGGCCAAGAACAAGTCGCCCAAGGAGAAGCTTGGCTCGGCCCACAAGTCCTCCGGAAAAGAGTCTTCTTCTGCGCTGCAGACCCCCCCTGCCTCGGGAAGCAAGGCGAAGAAGAAGGCCGGAAAGAATGGCGACACCCCGCCGTCCAGCAGCAGCAAGAATACCAGCTCCACCCCGGTTGGCGATTCTTCCAACGCTCCCTCTTCGCGGGCTACGCCGAGTAGCGGTTCGAAGAGTAGCCCTGCCGCCGGCAGCAGTGGCAAGAACACCGGTAAGGGGACGGAGTAAATTGGCAGCCACCTGTCGTGCGATTCGGAGGAAGGTTTTTCTATGATGTTGGCCCTCATCATAGGTGGTCCGGGACGTGTTTTTGGCAAGAATATGCATCACAAATTCTCTTCTATAGATGGAAACTGCAGAAAGATTGTATCTCACTAGATATTTTAAGGCGTAGATCTCCCACGGGATGCTCTACCAACTTCACAAGCAGCTGGCTTTGCTTCGTATTTCTACTTGGTGAACTAGACAACTCTCCTAGATGTTTAGAAATCGCGATGACCTAATATGTTTTGAAAGGAAAAGCGCATGGATTGCGCTTCTGGTTCTCGAGAAGAACTCATATCCAAAGTGGTTGTATACCGGCTAAGTGTTGTGAGCTGTTTCACAACTTCAAAGCCCACGAGGCGAGCTTTTTACTTTTGACGATTTGGAATAGCTGGAGCATGGCGTAGCATGCGCGCGCACCCCGTCCCGCAACGCCAAAAAGAGCGGGCGGCGGTGATAGACTAATATCGCGCGCTAGAGCTATTGTGTCCCCTGATCTATTTCGCCAAGCATGGCACGGGTGCCAGAAGTTCTCTTCGGCCAATGCGGCACTGCGACCTCCTGTCGAGAACTTGTATCAAACCAGATCAGCAGCGTGTAGATAGCAAGAAACGCCGCCCCGCGCTGCAGATGACAAGCGTGGGCGGAGGCTGGGGCTCTGCAGATGTACTATTTTTCAGCTTCGGGGGGCCAAGATTTCCAAGGATGTATCCACTCACCCCGAGGCGCCGCCGCATTACAAATACTCTTCCACTTGCTCTGCCCTATCGCAGGACAGGCCTTGAAGCTGACGCACTTCATCTAGTTGGGCACTTCTTTTTCCCTTGGAACCGCAGCGACACACTTGTGCTAGTATCAACCCTTCAGAGTTGGAATCTGGCAGACAGACAGGACCTTTTCACTACACTTCGCCAGCAGTATAATTATCCACAGCGGGAGGCTGTTGCATTTCTTGACTTCCGTATTTTTTGAACGCGCATCTTTACCGACTACGACTTACGCTAATTCTTCTGCATATTTACCGAGGTTTTTTATTTTCTCTTCGATTCTTTTGTTTCTGCATTACAAACTACGAGCTTTTGCATGTTCAACACCTGTGAGAATGGTTTTAGCCAGCTTAAAACACGTCCAGAGCGGCACCCTCGCCCTGGTGAGGATGTTGCCGGAGACACAGCGCGGCAACTGGGCGAGGAAGAAGAGCACCCGTACGAAAATTGTCTGTGTTGCGATTTTATGTTGTTTTCTAGTCACCCCCGATCACGCATGACAAATTCCAAAAAGAGACACAAAACAACTGGAATCGCAACGACGTTCAGGTGGCATATTGTTACGGAAATCCTGGCGGGATTGGAGGCGCGACATGGCCCTTGCGTACCCGCTTCCGGGCGCCTTGGACTTGGACAAGGGCGAGACGCGCGAGGATTTCGGGACAGAAATGGTACTCATGACGAGCATAAAACTGCCTGCGTTTTAGGTTCTTTAGACACTGACCCTCGTATCTATGACCCTAGATGATGAAATCTGTAATGCTCAGGCTGTTCAAGAAAGTTCTGATCATGTTCTGGCGCAAAAGCGGGCGCCACCAGGTCCGGCTTTTGCACATGTTTCGAAAATGTCAACTCAGGTTTTGTTTCTCGACTGGATGGAGGTACGCGGGTACGAGCAGCAGGTCCAGAGTTATTGCACTTCCGTGAGAGTGGACCACTCGCAGCTGGCGGACGACAGCGGGCGGCTGTTGTTGGCCTCCGCATTGGAAAAGCACTACTGTCAGGAGGAGCTCAGCAAACGCCACCAATTGGTAAAGATTTTCACACATCAAGCAGTCTGTGTTGCGTGAGGTGGTAGCTGTGATTCCAGTTTTCCAATTAGAATGCGCCTGCTCGTATTGTCTTCGTCTTTGGTCCCATAGTTCCCTCCTGGGCTCTTGGTCCTCGGCCAGGGTGCTTTCAAATAATGTTTCGAAACTCCGAAAAACGGAACAACGTCCTGCGCGGAGTCATTGACGCCGTTATCTGGATCCGGAACCTCCTCGGGGGCACCTCGGTCTCGTTTCCGGCTGAGTACGAAGACCTGCAGGACATGCAGTGGAACAGAACAATCTGTATTGCGCAAGACAAATCCACCAAGGGCCTGGAGTCGAAGAACGGGATCCAGGTACGCAGTACATTTGTAATGCATGACACAAGATTTCTGATGCAAGCGCGTATATTTGTCATGCGTGGGATCGCCTTTCAAACAAAAATCCACTCTCGCAGGTCTATCTCACGTTCCTGGTGATGAGTACATACGAGTTTGTGACCCAGCTTTGGACCATGCCGCTTCAGCGTCCATCCGGCGTCATCGGGAGAGGAGGACGGCCCCGACCCCGCGCTGCGGCCCAAGCGATGGCAACCGATACGCTCAACGTTTTGCATTTTCTCGGCGGCAATCAATTGATAAACAAACTCCGAGGACCATTCACGACCGGCTGGCGAGTTACTTGCGTGCTAGCAGGGGACCAGGAAGAGAGTATGACGAGAAGTTCGCACGCCCTGGCAATGGTGTTAAATTGTATACCAACAATCGGGCTCCACCATCGTCTTGCAAATGTCGTCAATAAGCTCTACGCCGCCTTGTCGCGGGTAAGAGAGGCGATCAGGATCCTGCTCGGCGGGCAATGGTCCCGCCAAAGTTTGCGCGGTTCGTACGAAGACGCGCGCTTGCGGTTGGTGGAGCGTGCGGAGAAGCATGGTTTCCGCTCCGAAGCGGTCGAAACGCAAGCCGGGATGTCGACTCTTGAAGCCCTGCAGACCTGTATATTAATAATTTTTGAATTTGTCATGCAGAAAATCATTTTTGTGATGTTCATCCCCCTCTCCCCTCCGGCCCTGAGCAGCCTCTCGCGTTACTTTTTTGCAGGCCAGGTTCTTGCTCCCGCTGCTGGGTGAATGAGGCGGATGCTTTCTTTAGAGGGAAGAACCGCCTTCGTCTGTTCCCAGCAGCGGGAAGTCGAACTGCGTGGCCTTTTCTGTAGGCCGAAGTCCTGGCTTCCGCTGGGGATTGGCGAAAAAAGCGATGTTGTCCTAGGGAGATCATCGCTTTTTCAATTTTGTCGAGCGGGAACTGGAACTCTCGGCTTTTTCGAAAGCCGAAAGTTCCAGCTCCCGCTCGACAAAATTGAAAAAACAACTCGGGCAGGGAAAAGAGAATAGTGAGAGTGTAGGTCACATCCAGGAAAAGGGAAGTTGACGAGTGTAGCAGAGAAAATCTTCTCCGGGGGGGGGTCAAAAGGACCTCCAGAAATTGCATTACACTCGATCAATTCTCTTTCCCAAGATGGCCATTTACACTGATTCTTATTTCTTTTTATAGGTGGGGATTAGGAAAAAGAAAATCGCGAGTGTAGCAATTTCATTCTCGCGCTGGGGGGGTGGTTGGGGGGGGTCGAAAAAGCACCTTGATTTCAACGCGATCTCGAGAATTGGTTTTGCACTTACACTCACGAAAATATCTTTTTCGCCTTCAACTTTCCGGACTTTTGTCTTCATAAAATGAAAACGCAACAATACCTTCCGACCAGGTGCCCGCCTCGATTCGATGGTCGAAGCGCGATGGTTCGCGGAGATGCGAATCGCGTTGCTCCTGTTGAAATCCAGCCAGGCGATCCCCCTGGTTCTCTACGAGATGTTAAGTGGAAACAGTCCGCTGCGTCTTTCGCTGGGCCCGGGTGAAGAAGGTGATCCCGCCGTGACCGAAATGGGCGACCCGGTGGATTATTGGGACCTGGCGCCGCGGCAGGTGGAAGTAGTGGAAGAGGGGCCGGTGCTTGGGTTCGATACTAATCTCTTGGCCGGTGATCTTGCTGCCATCGAAGAAGCCGAGGTGGCTTTTGAGGCGGCCCGCGAAGAGCGAGAGGAGGAAGTTCTCTTTCGACCGGGAGTTGACGATGTGGATGTCGATGGAAACAATGCTGATCTTGCTCCGCCCGACGTGCCCCTACTGCCGGTTGAGGAACTTTTCGGGGACGGAGAGCTCGACTCTATCTTCGACGAAGAGCCAGATGCCGCCGCTGAGCCTGCTCCTGCTCCGGTGCCGGGTGATCCTGCTGACAATGACAACGCAGTATGAAAATGAAAACAGAACGCCTGCGAATGGCTTCGAGATGTTTTTGCATTCAAGACCATTTGACGCATTTGAATTTCGCATGACAGATTCTGAACTCATTCGCAGGCGCACTTTTTTCATTTTCATATCGCGCTCCGAACGTCCGGGGGCGGGGACAAAACCAACGGATGACGGATAGGCAGAAGGTGATGGACCTCATCCATGCAATCGAGGCCTGCGACATCGACCGCGTGAACCACACCCGGAACCTCTCCAGCCGCTACTACAAGCTACATCAACTTCATTTAGAGGTGACGGCGGGTGCTCTGCAGGAGCCGCGAAAGCGTGAAGCCTTAAAGCAGAAATACCAGGACGTCTTCCCGTCATTGGACCTCGAAGGGAGCCACCAGCAGTTCCTCCAGTCCTGTGAGCGAGCTTTGCCGTCGATCTGCCTGGAAGCAGCCCGGGATGCCGCGCGACAAATCCACAACATCGACGAAGTGCAGGCCTCGTTCACGCAAATAATCTACAGCATGCGGCATTGGATGTACATGGTCTTCTATCGTGTGCAGAAATCTCAGAGCTCCATGTTTGTCATGCAAGAATACCTCCGCAGCATCGTAGATTCGAAGGTCCGTGGGAAATCGGTTGTGTGTTTCTGCATGCAAACAACTTTTGGTGTGGTTGTGCATGACAAACATGGAACTCTGAGAATTGTTCCTCCTGATAGCCGTGACCCCGCGTACAATCTTTGGTTTACTCTCGGGCACCGTCCCGACGAATGCCAGGCCTGGCTCCGGAACAACCTCGTCAAGTATGACGCCCTCGACCCCACGAACCGCGACGGCTTATTCCGCCGGAAACTTCCCGTCTTTGCTAATTGGATTCAGAACCTGCTCCGGTCGGACGAGCAGCTGGCGAAGGACGTTCTTGACAACATCCCGGTGGCGGGAAGTACGTCCGACTTCGAGCAGGAAAATCATTGGAGATATGTGACGCTGGCACAAAGGATTTTTCGCAAACTCCAGGGGCGGTTCCTTCTTTCGGCGGCACGGGATCGGTGGAGGAATAAGATGAAGCTTTTCAACCCGTTCCCCAGCCTGTGGGGCAGCACCGCCCGGAATGCTACCATTGCGCCGTCGAAGCTGCGTCCTTTCCTAAACGACCCGCAGCAGGAGGTTACCGCGGAGACGGTCCGCGCCCATGTTTCCGAAGTCGCCGCGAAAAACGAGCAGACGCCAGTACAAATCTTCGCACAGGTGGAAGACATTCGGTCCTCCCACCAGCTTCCTGCAGACATGGCGGCAATTCGTGACGAGGTCCGACACGAGGCTCTCTCGGCCGAGATTCAGGTTGCAGGGACCAACTACTACAGCCACAGCCTCCAGGTGGCGCCATACATGGAGGCGTCGAAGGTGGAGGCGGTTGCGGACATCCCGATTCTCCAGGAGGTTGGCGACAGAGTAGGCTGTGAAACATGGGGCTGCGCTCGGGCAACGTTTGTAATGCGGTGGCACAAAACCAAAGCCGTTCCTCCTCGTTCCAAAATGCCCTTCGCAACCTGTGTTTCACCTTTCCATACGTTGTCGACTCGTGTTACCGCTTCAGACATTGGGCTGCAGATAAAAAGCCGCTGGGTATGCAATGAATTCATGCACCACCAAGCCCTTCCTTTTTTAGAATGCATCAAATACGCATGACAGATTTCGCTTCAAGTCTCTGCAAAAGCAAGAAGGTGGGCTTGGTGGCAGGACGATCGCCTTTCATATGTGTTGCGGTTGACGAGGAGGCCGTCGGGTTTCGGTGGATACTGGTGTTGCAGATTTTGCTATGCTGGGAATAGTAAGTCTTGCAAGGTCATGCACACGGCAATCTAAACCCGTACCTCCGGAACGTCCGGGGGCCCCGGTAATGTTTGCATGTGTCATGCGAGTGGTTAGTCCTACATTTTACAGATGAGACGCAGAATGGTTTTCAGTATTCCAGATTTCGTTGGGCAGATGCCGCGCAACTGAATCAAGGCCATTGCCGCCGCATAAAAGCGCAGCAAGACGCTCTATTCACCTGCATACTCGCAGGGACTTTTCTACGGTCTGCTGCTGTCGCCGAAGGAGCCCTACGTGTACATGTTGAACCCGGCGAATTTTACCCCCGTGTGTGGTCTCACTGCCCATCTTGCTGTAATGGTCTTATGTAGAAAAACCTTCCGACCCTACAGATGTTTGCGATTCTGGTACTTTGTGATGCAATTTTCCCGGAAGTGATGTCGTGCAGACATGTTGCAACCAGCATCACAAACCCCGCGGTCGTTTTTCTTCACTTGGATAAACCAACTACCGAATCCAGTTCGACAATGGGAGGCTGTGCGTCCACTTCTTGAATACGGATTTCATTTTGTTCAGGGAGGCGATGACCCGGGCGATCGGACACATCCCCAGCCACCTCTTGAAAGAAATAATCCGGATGCTCACCGGCCTTGAAATTCTTTCGGACCCGCCGCTATGAATGTGAACGATGAGCGCCACCGCGGCAAGGTTACAAAGCGGCCGGAAGGGCAGTGGTCAGAAGTGCTGCTGCTCTTGTGGTTTTTTGCCGACCCGTGGCTGTGCTCTGCTTCTTCATCTTCATACTGTGCTGCCGACTTGCGCGAAATCTTCCAGGCGATGGCAGACGACAACATCGAGCTGGACAGCGCGGCTGAAATAATCAGGAGCAAGCTCACCTCCAACGTGCTCGAATTGGGCGCGATCGATGACGAGCCGGCTCGGAGGCGACGCAGAGGTGATGCCGGGAATGCTGCTGGGCAGGGCGGCGCCGGGCAGGACGGAGCGGAGCGTGCGGGGAGACGGGAGTTGGGGAGGGTGCGGAACAAAAGTCAACTTGCTCTGACGTGTCCGGCCTGCGAGCAAGATGTTTGTTTTGTTCGCCGAAGTATCCGCAGAACCGGCGGTAGCGGGTCCATGCTACGGCGTGTCTGGCCACCGGGAACGGTTTTTGAGAACATGAGGAAGCCACAGATGAGCACCTTCATCGGGGCCCGGAACGACGACCGCCAGGTGATTGCCTCGGTGTTCAAAGCCGGCGCATTGGAGAAGCACCAGCAGTCGTGCTTGCTGTGTCTCGACCTTGACATTGTTGAGCGGGAGATGGGGACCAAGCTCGGCGCCGTCCTGGAAATGGCCGAGAACTTGCAGGAGGGCGAGCAGGTTGTGGCTGAGGCTGGTGACGACTTGATGGGATGGCTGAGATTGTTTTCGTACTTCGTAGAGGCTCCGATATATATTCAGAGCCAGACATTGCCAGTTTTGATCTTATACAAACATGGAAACTACCGACCCTTTTTGGTTCGTTCTGCCAAGATACCGCTATAAAAACGCTGATAAATAGACTTACTGCTGGACGTAGACGCACTTTTACACCGGTTTCAGAAACAGTATCTTCTTCCTACACAGCAAGCCATGTCTGCGAGCTGTTCTTGCAGCCGTTGGCATTTCCGCTCATGCTGTCCTTTTATTCGAGATTCTCCTTTGATTTCGTACTGCCATTGTGCGCCAGCCACAGTGTGGAAGCAGGCGTGGAAGGTAGCGCCTTGATTCCCTAGAGGTTTGTATCTTAGCTCGTCTTCCGGTAAGAATTCACACCACAGCAAAACGCACTGCATTTATTCCGAGGGGTTGTGAGAAGTCGACGTCTGCATTTTGGAAGGAAGAGCTTTGCTAGAAAAGCATGGGGCGCATGCTTCTGGGAAGTTGTCTTGCTTGAGCTGGTTTTTTGTCGTGAAAAGCTGTGAAGGAGGCGTATTTCAAAAACGGCCCGAAGAACCTCGCTCTGTGGTCCCGCCCGTTATTGCAACTGGAAAAAAGGGTGGGCCCGGGGTGCTGCTGCTGATATGTGTCCCGTCGTCCGTGTCTTCTTTGATACTCAATCTCCCTGGTCCTCACCTCCCGGCCCTGTGGAAAACCATTCGAAACCTGCGCAAGATTTCCAACCCCGATCCTTCCTGCATTTGCTGCAGAGGCCCGCCGGAAGGTGTGGTTGCTTCAGGTCCCATAGACTAAATTGCCGACGCTACGTCGTTAACTTCCTCGACCTTCTTCAACATCCGCAAGAGCTTGATGGGATCACACATGTCTGCTGCGCTCAGATAGAATTCATCCGTCCAATCCGGACAGGCCGCAGGCACGAAGTCCAGGACTTCCGGATAAAGAGCGATCGTTCCAACCCATGGCGACCTGCATTGCCGTTAGTTTTTTCATGTATTTGCAGCACTCGGCCTCGATATGTTATCTATGCACTGCGGTAATGTCCACTCTTCATTCCATCAGCTCACAGCGGATAATCTTGAACAAAAAAAAGCACTTCCACATAGGGGCTTGAAGCATGCAGCACCTTGAATCGCACTCGGCGCAAGTATTTGCGCCCGAGATGCAAGAAACAGTGTCTAATGATGGCCATAATACGACGGATCCGCCGGGTTTGGTGCGTAGCCATGCTCCACCAGCGACCGGACCGGCAAGAAGAACGACCCGGCGTGGGTTTGCTCCGGGCCCGCCGATTTCCGTGCGTGAAGGAGGAGGACATCGAGGACACTGGCATCGAATCCTTCGCCGTTTTTCCTGGTTGAAAAAGGTATTTGTGGTGGTCTGTTTTGGTCAATAGAGAGCTGAGACACAGCGGCGCCATTGGTTGAGCCCGCAGCGAAGACACGCACTGTTGCTTACGAAAGTAAAGGCTCTCTTTTTCAATTGAAAATGTCGCGCACCCTAGAAAAAAGCGAGCTACCTTTGCGTGCTTGCACGAATTCCCGTCACTTGCCCGTGATGGTTCTTCTTGAATTTGGCCGCTCGCTCTTGGCAGCGTAGCTTCAGGCCCTCAAAATGTAAGCAGCCGCCCACCACGGTAAAGCCAGTGCTGTTCAGGTCATAGGCGCCACCTGCCAGGCTTACGCCCTGCGCCATTTGTTGCCTCATACACTGCTCCACGCGCTGGTTGCGCGATGAGGCGTTCAAGTGCCCCAAGGCGCCGGCAAGGTGCACACCGAAGGCAGGCCATTGGCCACGTAGGCGCTGCGCTAGCGCATTTGGTGCGCACCACCAATGCTTTGCCCGAAAGTCCACTTTTTCCCAGTCATAGTACTTGAAAACCGGGACAAAGAGCACCAGGCGGCGGTGGGTCGTTATGCCAACGACTACGCTGCCGGCGTACTCGACGCGCTTTTTCAGAACCTGGCACTTTACATTGCGCAGCCAGTCCTCGACGGCACTTTTTGAGCCCTTGACCTGCAGTCGCAGGACCGTGGGCGCCGCAGCCCCGCCGCTCGATGAGCTCCCCTGTGAGCCGTCGCTCACGTCGCCGTGGGCTTTGTCAGCTATGACCAGGTCTGCGAGGTATTCAGGGGCGCTGATGATCTTGAAATCGGGGTCCAGTAAGCTCGTCAGCTTTTTTGCCGACCACTCTTCAGTGCCTCGTGGACTTGAGCCCATTGGCAGCGATCTTTTGCCGAGGCAGGGTGGCCGAAGGGGCTGCAAGCTGAGTCCGTTTTCTTTGAGGTTCTCGCTAAACAGGCTGCTGACAGACGACTGCAGCCGCGGCCAGCGCGAGAAAGCGGTGTATTTAGTGGGTTTTGGCGCTGTTCTAGGTGGGGTAGTTTAGGGAAAAGGGAGTCCTGTCAAGAGTCTGTCCCTCTAGCATTGAGAAAAGCCTTCGAGTATTTGAAAACGAGTCGTCGCATGTAAATTTCTGCTGTCTCAGCTCTAAACCCGATCAAAACAGGCCCTGCAATGCCTTGCCCAAGAGCACAACCGAAGACGCAAGACGGAGGCGCAACCGACCTGATCGAGACCTTCGGCCAGAGTCCCGTGCTGTTACGAGGTGGGGCCAGAATGCTTCTGCGCCAGAAATCAAGCTCCACGACCTTCAGTCAGCCGTCGCCACCGATGAGTCCTGCCTCCTTAACTATTCACATATACCGAAGCAACCGTAGCTAGTTTTGACTATATAAATTCACCATATAAACATCAACACATACCAGGTCGGGGATTGCGCCGGAGCTTGAGAATTTTTGAGTTTTGCATATCAAAAAAAATAGTGATTTTTGAAACACCTACACTAACACAGTTTTTTCTTTCAATATTCTATCTTGTTGTCATGATGCAATTATACCTCATCAAGTTCAAGTGCCGCAGCCGCTGCTGCTCCTCGTGCCGGAGCAGTAGAAACAATACGAATGATCACACAACAACTTAAAAAAAGCCCTGCTGTACCACGTCCGTCGGCCCAGCAAGCACGGAATATCCTGTGCAAAAGTATCGCACTTGTGGTAATTTCAAACATGCGCTTACAAATCTTTTTCTGAAGGAAAATCTGCATATGCAAATTTCATTTCTCATGCTAAGGAAATTTGTCATGCGATATATACTAGTACGATGCTTTTGCATTTCATACGGAAGTCCCACTGTCGATAATCGCAGCCTGGTTTTTCGCGATCACATCTCCCCCAACAGACATGCTTGTCATCAAAACCTGCCAGTAACCTTCTCGCGTCACGGGCACGTACGTCATATCCCCCGTGTAGTGCTTCGGATCGGCACCGCCAATAACGAGCTCTCCGTCCGCGCCGGACTCGGTTCCGAGGAAAAACGAAAAAGCCGGCTGGTCGATGAGTTTCTGATCAATGTATCAAGTGCAAAAATGTCTGGGTCTGGAAGAGTGGAAGCTTGTCAGGCTTGTCTGACATCACCCTCAGGTCTGTCATGCACATTACCCAAAAGCGGCCCTACTTTTCTGTCAAGCAGAAGCTCACTTTGTCATGCAGAAAAGCCAAGACTATCGCACCTCCAAAACTTGTCACGCTTGCCAGTCAATTGAGGCGTCCTCGTCTTTCTCAACCAGCATCACAAGTTTCCAGACTCAGACATTTTTGCATTTGATACAATGAGCGACTGGACGACCGTGGGGATCCCGTCGACGGAAATAGTGCTCCAGCCCAGGCTATTGTGAGGAAAAATCGAAATCCCCTCTCCCCATATCGAGAAGGAAATTTGTGATGCTGATTTGTGACCACTGACCAGCTCTGTCTTGCATATGGGGCAAATGGAAGCCGTTTGGCGCATTCCACAGCCAATCTGTGATGCGCTTTTGCGTACTGCAAAAGTGTCTGCCATGCCTAACTGCTAGCCTGTTGCATACCCAAAAATCAGGCTTAGGATGTGCCTCCAAGGAGCGCCTTCGGCAATACAACGGTGATTTGTGTACAGAAATCCACCAACATCAGAAATTTCCTTTTTCCTATGGGGTGGGAGCATTTTTCATTGTAATACAGGCCGAGGATCCCGTCGAACTTTCCAGCGGCGTAGGCCATGCCGAGACCTGAAATATTTTTTTGGAAAATTTGAGTGACAACATCTTCGTCCTCCGCGGAACTCCTTGGGCTGGATTGCCAAAGCTGACTCACATAGCTGTTCCTGGGGTCTCTGGCCACCTTCCGGCCTACTTTGGGCCAGCTTTCCGGTGGGTTGCTGTTGCATTAACGGCGGTGGCCGCTTGTAACACCTGTCGCCGAGCAGGGCGCCACGGGGCTTGGCCAATCTGCCTAACTGGGCGGTGTTGTGGCGCTCTTGGTTGCTTTAAGAGGGGCCACCCTTTCCAGAATTTTTCTAGAAGAGAAAGTTAGCCAAAAGTTAGCCAAAAGTTAGCCAGAGGGCAAAAAAAAAAATCCCCAAAAACGTTAGCCAAAGAAGGAAAGCAAAAAACGCTGATTTTTGCTTTTCGGCAAAGGGCGATGCTATGGCCAACCTTTGGCCAACTTTTGGCTAACTTTTGTTCTAGAAAGTCGGACTGCGCCATGTTGAAACCGCATCTGCGGTCGGGAGGTGGTCGGAGCTTGTCTTGTCGCCGTGCAGATGAGGCAGAGGTTGCGGAAAAACTGCTGCTGAGAGATGTTCGACGAGAACGCTGCTGGGGTGGTCGCTGTAGACTGGGTAGGCAATCGCGGTGAAGATCTGGACGAATCACCGTAATGTCCTTGGGACAGGCAGACCGCTGCTGGTGAGAGCGGAACCAGCGTCACAGATCTTGCCCCAGTCGTAAAGCGCGTGGGGTTCGAGCGCTATATTTTGTAGCACTCTCAGCAACTCACTCTCAGCAACTCTGAGGACTCTCAACACTTCGAGTGAGAAGAACATCTTCGTCCTCCGCGGAACTTCTTGTGCACGACTCACTGCTGGCGCTGCTGCACCGAGGCAGAGTATCTGCTCTTCAACCACACAAGTCTAATAGTAATACCTGACACATCCGTGATTTCCGCAAAAACATACTTTTCCAGCTTCACGTTCCCACTGTTGCCCAAGTGCAACGTGTCCTGGCCCAGAAATCCATCTACTGGCTATCAAAATGAAAAATCCCCCCTCCCCCTATCAAAACGGCGATCTGTTATGAGGGATTTGTGTACACAAATCGCATTGGTCTTGCAGGAAAGCACTGCACGCAGGAGATCGGAAGCCTAACGGGGGGGGGCTTTTGGTGTAGGGGCCTAGCATGGTAGACGTCTGCCCTGTAGGCCTTGCAGCATTACAAACCGCCTACAGATCGCGGCGGAGTCTTTTGATTTGCCTTCTGGCAAGACAGGATTTGTGGTCCTGGTCACAAATCTGCATCACAAATTTTCGGAAGGACATGTTTTCAATATGGGAAGGGGGGATTTTTCCTTGCAATACTGGTCCGGAGCCGTACTGGATGTGGAACTTCGTTATGAAACACAAATTTGAATTTCCCGCACATGCACAAAATGCATGACAAAAATAAATCTCCCTAGCTTGGAGTGTCAACAAACTACGTGTCATGCTAACTAAGATTGAAGGCAAGTTTTGTCATGCCGAAACAGCAGGTTACGGAAAATTTTCTGAGGATACTCGTGCCGTTTTTCACGTAGCTTTCCGATTTCGCTTCGTTGAACAAGGATTTTGCCTGACGCGAATGCAACAAAAAAACTGTGTGAGTGTAACTTTCTGCTGTTCTTGCAGACGATAGTACAATCCAGTTTTTACACTTGTCATGCTGGTCATGCATCAGAAGCTCGTATCTTATTGTTAGTTTTAACATCCTAGCTACGCATGACAGGTTTTTTTTGTGACGCAGAGCAAATTTGTGATGCTGTTCCTGCTCCATCAAAGTTACAACTACACTCACATCACACCACAACTTTTTCTCTTGGATAACACGCGAAGGCCGTGCATTCCGAACTGGGGACCCACAGGTTGCTTGACCCTATGAAAGCCGCAGGTTAGAAATCCTCAAAGTGGAAATAGCTTGTGATGCAAAAAAACGACTCCAGTTGAAGCGCCATTTGTAGTCGGCGCATGAGAAATTTCCCGGGCACTCAAAGCGTGTCTGTCATGCTACTTAGGCAAAGGGGTGTCCTTCTGTCGTGCTAATCAGCAGCCCTATTCTTCACCCCTAGCAGGACAATAGTCGGCCTCCATTGTGTCCTCTGCAATGCAGTCTCTTTGCCTGGGATTTCATGCATCGCAAATTATTTCCACTTTGAGGATTTCCATTCTGAGGCTTTCATAGACCCGGTATCGTAGATGACTTGGAATTCGGTCGGTGGGCTGCCCACAGCGATATCACAGGAAAAAACTGTTTCACTGTGATGATTTTCTTGCAAGATCTGCAACATGACAAGTTTGTTATTGTTACACATGACACTGAAAATCTGTCATGCGCGCATTTCCCATAGGGGAAACCACGGTTGAAACTCCAATGTTCTATGCAGGTGTAGCAAAACAAGTAGCTCTGTGTTCCATTTTCTGCCTGACAAGTTCACAGTGAAACAGTTTTTTCTTGCGATAAGCGACGGCGCCGAAGTACTGCGCGTTACCAAAGTCGTGAATCGTAATGTCGGCCGTGTCTTGCAGCGAAGATTTTTCTGTTTTTGCGGAGGGATTTTGGATCTCCTTGATCAACTTTTCCCGCCAAAGCTTGTCATTGGCCGACTGCTGCTTGCGGAGCGGAAACCTGAGAACAGTTTCTAGAATGTTCGTAGTTGAGTTGTATCCACTCTTCATCTCCTGCAGTTCGTTTTTTTACTATCTGAAGCTGTTGTTCTTGGGTATGCTGAAGTGGAAATAGTTCATCTCATGATTCTGTTTGTTGGCAAATAAACTACGAATTAAAATAAGTACTTGAGCAGCTTGGGTCCACCTCCTTTTCGGTGTCCCATGAAGGCGGCCGCACCTCCACCCGTGCTGCTCCCGACCGCATTTATTCGCCCGCTAGGATCTATGGAAGCGTCAGGATCAAAATCGTCAAAGTTGACATAGTTTGCGATGCATAAAATGCAACCCACAAAGTGCCTGCCTTGCAGAGTACGCAAGGGAAGCAGATTGTAAGCCTGTTGAGGGGTAGAAATAGAGCTGCTAAAGTAAGCGTCTTCCATACCCAAACACCATTACAAACTGGATGTAGGCACCGCCGAGATTTGTCATGCGCCACTTGAGCACTGGGCTCCAACTGGCATCCAATTTATGCATGGCAAATCATTTCAACTTTGACGCTTTCGATCCTGACAGTTCCATAGGACCCGCACCCACGACAGCAGGCACTGCTGCTGCTGCAGCAGTGAGCAACAATGATCCCGCGCAAGACGGCATTTATCGATTTTCACCCTCTAAGCTAAGTAGTAGATCAATTAAGTAGTACTAGTAGAGTAGACACAGCTCTGCTTGAAAAAAGACGAGAAACGGGCAACAAGCTTTTGCCCGCTAGGTACAGCCAGCTGGGCCTGGGTCAGACGCAAAGAAACTACACCCGTGGTCTCTCGGAAAAGCACGAAGAAGACAAAATACTTAAAAACTAGCTTCCACGACGGCAATCAGCCGGACACTGTGAAAAGCTCGGAAGAAAAAAAAATTGGCGGAACAAAAATATGTGGCAGGATGTTGGTCATGGAAATCGATCCCGCACACACGTAACACGATCGCCCCAGATGACGCCTGTTCCCAATGAGATGACGCTTCTGAATAGCCTGAACTAGCTAGATCCTTAGGGAAATGGTCAGAATCTATCTAGATCCTAAAGGAATCTCTTCACCATGTTCCGCGAATCCCCCAAATACTACGAAGGCAAAGCCATCAGGATCGTAATGAAATGAATGGACTCAGCTCGGTCCAGACGTTCAGAATGGTCACCCTGGGGGACTTGACTCCCGCCAGGGTCGAGCACCAAACCGACAGCATTGAGGGATGGACTCCCATGCTGTTTTGCCACTTGACTCTGACCCGAATGGTCCATATGAATCTGATGAATTTGGATGAATTGATCCTACAGGATGTAACACAGCAAGAGACTTCCGTCACTTGCTTGCTTACTTGCAATTGAGAGAATTCTTCGAATTGCTGTTGATAACGAGCTCAGTGGAGCAAACGCGTGTAAGTGTGTTCGAGTGTTCTCAAGTCCACTAGCACTACGCTACGCCTTGGGACTCAAGCTGGCTCTTCTAGTCAGCTAAGTGATGGAAATAATGGGCCAAGAGGCAAAGCTGGTCGAGAAGCTGTCCAGCGCGCAGGACTGGCGCGTCTGGCATCGCGGAGTCACGAACGAGGTTTCTCGCCTCGGACTCCGGGAGTATTGGGATAATCGTCTTGCTGGTAACCCTCCGGGGATTCCGCAGGCGCAAAATACTGCCAATAACGCGATCCGGGAGAAGTGGCGCGACCTGAAGGATGCCATCTACAAGTCGCGCACCGGGTCCGTGTCCACGTGGGTCAACAGTCAGCACTACATCAACGACGACGCTGCGCAGTTGTTCATGCGTATTCGTGACGTTGGTCGCTTCCGTGTTGCCTCCCGTGACCAGCAGCACATCAAGACGTCCTCGATCGACGCCATGCATTTCGACAACCGCGACGCGCCGAAGGATGCTCCGACGTTCCTGGCCCAGATCCACGAGCTAATGGCGATGGCGCCGAGTGTCTACGTCCCGGAGCCCGGGCGTCCGGTTGAAGATCAGCATGTCAGGAACATCCTGGACAAGTTGCCCAAGATGTTCGCGTCGGCCTTCCGCCAGACCATCGACCGCTGCGTGGACGAGTCCGATCACATCACCCTCAGGCGTCCGGGCTCGGGCCACCTAAGGCGTGAACTTTTGCGCAAAGCTTCGGGAATTTTGGAAAATGCAAAGCGGGTCGGGGGGTGGGAGCAAAAGAAAGGAAGCGTGGGGGGCGGCAAGCAGAAATGGCGAAACACAACGAAGGCTGCGGGGCTCCACAAAATAACCTCTCCGGTCTTATGTTGGAGCAGCCGGGACGTGGAGTCTTTTGTTTCGTGCTCAGTCGGAGGACCCGGGGCGGTGGAGGCTTCTAGTTTTTTTCTATTTTTTTTCTGATTTTGGAAAAAACACAAGCTGGGCGCAATTCCTTGTGAAATACCAAGAACGGAGACGGGCGGGTCGGCAGAAGAACAAAGGCAAGGCGCAATGTCAACGGACCCCGGGGCAAGAGAAAACGAAGAGGAGAAACCGGGGTCGGTCTCCAAACCCCAAAAGCACAAGGGTGGCAAAGTTGAAAAGCGGCATCGGGGCAAGCTTCTTTGAGGCGGCCACACACAATGGCATGATCTGATCCTCATGCGCCCTTGCCAAGACTACCCAAAAACACGAACCAGGTCACTCAAGAATTCCCCGAAGCCAAACCCTACCAAGAAGCCAGGCGCTACAATCGAGAAACAAAAACTGAAGGACCTTCTAAATTTCCTTCTATTTTTGTGTCTAAATCCGCGCCTTCTATTTTTCCTTCTAAATTTCCTTCTATTTTTCCTTCTAAATTTACCTTCTATTTTTCCTTCTAAATCTGCCTTCTATTTTTGTTTCTAAATCCACCTTCTAAGTCACTTGCTATTTTTCTTCTGATTCGACCCAAATGTTCGGCTGATGAGCAGCTTCTTCTCCTTCTTCTAAATCTGTTGCACAGTGATTTCCCTAAGGAAATGCTTGTAAACAGGATTTAGAAGAAGATTTAGAAGATGTTCATCAGCCGAAAAATGGTCGAATACAGCAGTTTTGGAAACGGACAGGTCTCAACCTGTCCGTTTCCAAAACTGAAAATAGCAAGCGACTTTTGCGCGAAGGTGGATCTTGTTTCGAAATACACATCAAACTTGACACAGAACGAAGCCAAATGCGGAAGGAGAAGGTCGAGGCAGAACATGCTTCACATATGATCGTGCAGAAGACGGAACAAAAGACGCGAAAACTGTTGCCCGTGGCGACTGCCAGAGCAACAATCTTCGCGGCTGTCCCACTGTCGAACACCCTCACACCCCAAAACATGCGGAACAACCAGACGGGCGACACCCTGAACCACCTAACTGCGCCGGGTGACAGAAATGCCCAGCGGTACCCCGCAACACAGACAAACACCAAAGGGCGCGGGCCCATCCATGCACCGGACGACCGAAGTTGGCGCCGTGGGGCGCGGGGCACAGGACAAAGGCCAGCAAACCCGGAGCGGGGGGAGCACAGACACCCACCAAACGAGAGGCCCCGGCCGCTTCCTCGCCGCGCTGGGATTTCGAAAATCAGAAAAAAAATAGCCATTTTGTAGCCACCTCTGTGGCCCCACGACCCTCTAACTGATCGTGCCTTCTCCGGCCCGGCGAGCGGGGCACATGCGAAACACAAAACAAACACAGGCGACGGCCTATGCCCATGATCCCCCGAAAACCCGGGCAGCCAAAGTCTCAGGGTCGACGTGAGATCTTGGCCGCCTCAAACCCGTGGATCTTGTGCAATTCCTTGTGCAATTTCTTGTGCAATTGTTGTGCAATTGCACGAAGACAGGTGGCTTGACCACCAGAGGGGTTTTGGGAATTGGGGTGGGAGTTGCGTGTTCAATATTTTGGGAATTGTGTGCGCAATTGAGCAAAACAAAGGAAATCCTTCCGGATTCCGTGCCCCCCCCTTCAATTGCACCCCGAATTCCACACACAATTCCACACGAAATTCCACAAATCCCGGTGGTGTTTCCGCCACGAATTCCCAGAATATTGCACAAAAAATTGCACACGCAATTGCACAAAAATTGAACAGAAATTGCACACAAGGCACACTGCGCCGACATCATGCGGAAAACGCCCGGGCGGTCCCGGCGTCTAAAATTCTTCTAATTTTTCCGGTTTTGAAGAAAAAGCAAGAACCCAAAACCCTTGGCGGCAGACCCAGGGGAAGACAGAGGTCGGCGCCGAAGCCAAGAACGGAAATAGGCGGCGCGGTGAAAAGACACCAACAACATGACGACGAAAGGGCGACCCAGGCGAGGAAGGCGGTGGCGAGGAGGGGAAGACAAAACAAGAGATCGCCCCGAACACCTGCACATTGGATCATTGCCGCGACTACTTAGTCACGACGATCCGACATGGAAGACGGGGCGATCTATTGAAACCAATCCGCAGGCGCCGACTGCTACAGTCGGCTTCTAATTTCGGCCTCTAGAGTCGGCCTCTAAAGCCGGTCTCTAAAACCGGTCTCTAAAACCGGCCTCTAAAGCCGGTCTCTAAAACCGGTCTCTAAAGCCGGTCTCTAAAACCGGTCTCTAAAATGCTCCTCTAAAGCCCGCCTCTAAAATGGCCTCTAAAAAGGCCTCTAAAAAGTCCTCTAATTCTTCCCTCTAAAATTCCTCTAATTCTTTCGCCCGCCCGGCAGTTTCGAGGCTTCTAAAAATCCTCTAAAACTGCCGGGTAGGCGAAATCACACACAAAGTCGCAGCTTTGCGATTTTAGAAGATGAGTTAGAAGAATTCGGGATGGCAAAACCGGAAGCGGAACCGGAAGATTCTTCCGGTGAACCGGAAGATTCCTCCGCCTCCGCTTCACGGGAACATGTGAGACCCGGCATCATATATGTGTTTGTGGGCTGCAGGAGATGACGTTCGCGCTCGAAACCCACGAACATCATCTTCCGCGAAACGACAAACGAATATTTTTGCTCTGGTTTCGAAAAACGCAGAGGCGATGCGAGCGTCCACAAATTTGCCCGACGACACCCTTCTCAACTTCCCACCCCAAAGCTGCACCCTCCCACGACCTACATCAACATAGTTTTAAAATTGCAGAGCATGAATTACCCCGGTAACCGCTTCGAATTTTTAAATTTTAAAACTAACGCCGCCCCGGTAAACCAAGAAACCAACAACGAACAACCAGGCGGCTGCCTGTACAAAACCAGCCGGGGACACCGGGCAGGATGTCACGCGGCACACTGCCACACGCCCGGGGCGAAGCCCGTCGCGGCCAGAGAAAACGGGCGGCGGGAATTTTTGAAATCCCGGAAATTTTAGTGGGTTTTTAGCTGCAAAATCCGCCCGGGGTGTCTCCGCATGACCGACACAAAAAAAACCGGCGAGACCACAAGAGCTGGCCCGCTACGCCAACACCGGAAGGGTGTTTTCGCCTGCATGATCAAGAACATGGGACCTCGCGAGAACTCCCACGCCGGTCTTTTCGCAAGAAACCCGAAGCAACCCAATGGAACATGGAGGGGCGGACACCAACAACACCCAAGAAGCCGGCCGGCCAAACTCCGCGGACAGAGGTCGGGGAGCTCCTCCGCGTAAACCTATGAGGCCGGGGAGGCAACGCGGGCCATTCCCAAAATTCCGCAAAAATCGCACAAATATTCCCCGCTTAGTTGGCCCGGTCTCGGACGCCTGATCACCCTCCAGCAGATCGGCGACCGTCTCGAGAAGAAGCTCGCGCAGTTGGTCAAGGAAGGGTCGCACAAGATCGAGAGTCCGTCCCTTGGCA